TAAACCACACCCTTGTTCCACTGCTCTTTTCAAACAGCTAAAAGGCTGTACTCTTGGAAAAATTGTAGAGAGCCCAGAGCTCTGAACCTGTGAAATGATTTCCCAGTTGCCCAAGAACAAACGTAAGGCACCAGGGGCAACTGGGCTTTGCTAGAGCACAGCCCTCCCTTCAAACAATAATATTTTCTTAAGGAGGGATAAACAGGACAAGGCAGCAGTGCTTCAGTGGAGGCTGAATCCATGAACCTTTGCTTGGCAGAATATGGCACACATCCAACTGAGCTAACCAAGCGGCAGTTAGATGTGGCAATAAGGAGAATATCCTTGTGGAATGAATGCACCCTGTAAACTCACCACATAGAGTTGATGAAGAGCTCCAAGCAATGACACAGACCATGCATTGGTGAATGTTTCACCAGGTATAGTCACCAGAATGGGAGACTCACTACCAGCCTTCAAAGCCCTGTAAGTAATGCTCCAATCATTAATTTATTTTACAAAAAGAATACTTAGTCATAAGCATTCTGCTGGATGATAAAGTCAACAGTTAAAAGAGAAACCTGAAAGATATGAGGCTTTGATCATAAATAATTGTAATTACTACAATATATTTATAGCAATGTGGTGGATAACATTTAAATTTACTCTGATACACTTAAATGTACACTTTATGTCTTAATTAACCCACTGAAAACAAAATTGCCTGAAAAAATTCTAGGCTGAGGTATTTATTAAGACATATTTATTGAACACTAACCACAAAGAAAAAAAACAAAATTATACCTAAATTTCACTAACACCATCTCTAGCACTCTCGCACTCCAATGACACTTGAATAAAAAAGGTGGCTTTTACTATCAGGGCTATAAATATGCTCTCTGACTAGCAGCACCCGCTGGCCCCCGTAAATAATTGCATGATGAGCCAAGTTAGAGTCCAAGTGTATCAAATTTTCTCTGATCCCCCTGTATCTTTCTCACAAAATTTTTGCAACTTAGGAGAGAAAGGCATGTTAAAACTTACATTACAGTTGGCAATGCAATCTTAGAATAATCTAAAACTGTTACATTCTAGCAATTGATTACATGAGAAATAACACGAGAGGAAAAGTACAAAAAAAATACTCACCGTTTGATTCCATTCACAGCCGCATCATAGTAACGTCTAACATCATCATAATCTCTGTTCACAGGTCCTGTAGGTGCATGGACCTAAGGTAGAGTATACCATGATGATTACTTATTCTTTCAAATTCTTACTTACATTGTATTCACATGTATCTGATGCATGCATAAATATCACAAATTTTATGAAAAACTTAACCAAAGGGCAAATATTCAAGATCAGGAAAACAAAAAAAAAAACACAAACCAAAGGGGTCTATTACCAGTGTATGTGACAGGTCAACATTAAATTTAGGATAAAATGTTTTAACCTAGGTTGATTGTGAATTTTCTTTTGTCCCAAGTGATAAATCATGAATAATTAGGCTTAGGAGACAATGGCTATTAAGAATCAACCTAGTTTTTAAAAAAATACTAATTTTAAACCTTAAACAATATTATTGTGACCTGTAACAAAATACACTATACATAAATTGAAAGTATGTAACAGTTGTTTCAGCAATGTCTGTATTCATTTTTATTGTTTTTAAAAAGTTACATGTAATTAAAAACAATAATCCTTCAAAGGTCTATCCTGAGTACTGTGTAATACAAAGTAACTAGACTCACCAAGCTTTTATTCTTCTCGCACAGTGGAAACAGCAAAGTTTCATTATAAACAGCTTTGTCAACCTGCAAAGACATGTAGATAAGTGGTACCAAGTTGTAAGCAAGCGAAGAGGCTGCCTGCACTTCAATGTATATATATATAGCTTACAGCACTGACTTTAGAAAAGTACTAAAAAAAGCCACACACTTCCAGTAAAATTAATTTTGATGTACTAGCTAGTGGGGCTTTTTGTATAAGAAAACTGCAAACTACTGTACTTAGTCTTCCAGAAACCCCAATAAAACATGATAAAAATATAATTATAACTTTCTGCAAAACTATACCACTCACAGTGTTGACCTGACACCTTCCTCTTATTAAGTCCCTACACTTTTATTCATCAGGAACTTAAATACTGATTGGGAAAACTACGGTACTACTACTACACAGTAGCAACCAGGTTTAATTTTTAAAATTTTTAGATTATAACCACAATATATACCTCTGCAGTTTTCTTTAACGTCTTCTTCAGAAAATTCCATGTGGAATTGTCCCATTCCAGATTTTCACACACAAGAATGTAGCAATCAAATCCCTCTTCCTCTGGATCAGATACTGGAACCACAGGACAAGGGAGCCTAAAGGAATAAAATTATAGTACATGTAGAAAAAGACAAGTTCAGGCCAAAAAAAAAATAATAACAACAACAACAACATTGATGCACTTTGGGATTTAACCTTTGTTTTAGGTCGCTTTTCTTTGCTTTGTTTTGAATGGTCTGAAGAGCCTCCTATTTATCAGGGATCACCTCCTACAAAATCTATTGAGAAACTAAACAACATTGTGCATAACATTTATCGAAAATGGTCTTTTTTGTAAACTGTTTAACATTCGAACAAACTGTTTAGAACAGTGAAGGGAGCAGTGGTATAAAATACTAGGACTGGTGCAAGGCAGAAAATATAAAATAATAGATTATGACAAAAAAAATTTTGAATAAAAGGTACTCTCACTCTGTTACAGTGACAATTTGGCTGACTAATTGTATAATACAGATGTGTAAATTACTGTAGTTGCTAGTGAAGAAATGACTTCTTCATTAGACACAATTTACTGTATCTCCTGAGCATCATAATTCAAATGAACAAACAACAAAGATAAACTTTGGAAACTAGTTAATACCCTGAACAGCTGTCAAAATTACCCAAAACATAATAGGTACAGTGTAACTTTACAATCAGTTCAAATCTTTCCTTCTGTAGATTGGTTAGAAGGTCACAGCTGAAATAAAACATAACAAATAACTGGGGTATGGTGGGGAACGCGAGCAACTGTTAAATGGTATAATTCTTACTTCCTTGTCTAGGAACTTTTTTACTGAATTAGGAGGGCATCCGTGGACATGCTGAAGCCACAGTTTGCAAGCTCAATTAGCCAATCTGCAAATAACTTTTTTTCTTCATTTTTTATTTAAAAAAAACAAGCTTAGTAAAGGGACCTCAATCTGATGGTCAAAAGTCCCCACAATAACCCTGCTTTTCTAGCACTGATTCCTCCTTCTTTCACATCTCTCAATCCCTTTGTGACATTTTTCAGACCGTTGCAACCTCATTCTAGCAGTCACAACTGGGGAAAGTATGAGAATTCCAGGTTCAACTCCGATGCTTCTGGTTATACACCTATTTCAATTAAGGTTGCTCCCGTGAACCATGTTTCATGGCCTGCAGTGCACTATGGTAAACCATTTTGTAGCTGGAAGTTCAGTCTTGTTCATGTTCATTGAAATAATGGAGACCATTATTTTGTGAGAAGGTGTTCAAGAGAGCTTTCAACTCAAATGGCTGTGAAAATTCTTAAGCATGAGCAAGCTGAACAATTTCATTTTTAAAATCTCACAGTAAGAAATTAGAAGCCTCTTCCTTTAACAGCAGTAATTGAATAGGGTTTTACCACGTGATTAAACTGCATTTTTGCTTGGGCCAGAATGCTGGTTATTTCAATAAAGCAAATCAATGCTATTCTTGTCACAGGCAACCCAGACGTAGTATGTGTCACTGAATGAATATATTAATATTCACATGCAGGGACAAAGTAGGACGAGTCGTCGAAACTCCCATGAACTAAAATAGTCAAAATCAAAAGATTACAAAACAAAGCTAAGATACCTTAACTGAACGTATCGTTGTCTTTCCTGGCGGTTAAAGTGGCATTTTGTTGAGTTTTGCAATATTTGTAGGTACTATCCACTAAAGAAGAATTTAAAAGGCTGGCTACAAAACAAACCGACTATCTCCACGCGTCTTCACGCAAAGCGCTATAAATTCGAGAATAATCGACGAATCCGCTCCCAACTGACATCGGCTAATCTGCAGGTAACACGTGCTCCGGTTTCTTGCTCACTTGCTCCACAAAACCCATCACAACTGCACAATGATCGCTTGCTCATCAACAAACACTGTTGACCTTTACGCTTCGATATGACCGCAAACTACCAGGTTTAATACGTGACGTGAATATTCAAGCTTAGCAACCGTGTCCGCGCGACAATGAAGCACTTGCTATGGGAGGGATGGTACTATTGCTTCTAGGTCAATCGACACTGAGGGACGGTACGCTGCGCTGTCACAGCTACTGTCACATTGTTCGTCCAGCCGGTTGCATAGGTTCTTGACTCTACTGGACCTATTTGCTCGGATTAATTAAATAAACAGTTCTTTCCAGAACTTCGCCTTACTCCACAATATGTTGTCCAAACTGGTGAGGGAGGACGAGGATTTTCTGCCTAGGAAAAAGGAAATATCTGGCCTTGGCTATGCAGCTGAATGAAAGATACAGCTGAAGATATGGTAAAGAAAAATTTATGTCCGCGATTTCTTTTTTTATTATTATTATTATTTTCAAAACTCAGGGGCACCCAACGACGATTTCCTCCAATGCATTGAAAACACTTTTAAGGCTGTCCAGAGTACTTTACATCTCTAAAAATTCATTATAAGCTGCGCCAATACATAGATTTAGTCAGGAGGGCGAAAAGCGAAGCTCTCAATAATATTTATAGTTTGCTCATACTAAATATAAAATCGTGTAATGCTAAGCAGAGAAGGCTACGAGACAGGGGCACCCAATGATGGTCTCCTCAAATCAAGAGAGAATGATCATTCTCTCTTGCTCAAATACATTGAAAACACCTTTTGTAGCTATTTATAAAGTACTTTCAGCTCAAAAGAAATGTATCCTAAGCGGTGCTATAAATTGGTATCTCAGTGTTCGGCCATTCTAGGGGAACTTGAGTATATTCGAAATTACGAGGAATTCGGAATTATTTTCCCGAAAATGTTAGATGTGATTTAATGTATTCTGAAAGAGATAATTTTTCAGATTCCTTCTTTCATCACATTTTTGAATCCAGAAATTTGTAGAATTCCTTGTTATCTACGAAAAATAGCCTAACGCGGGGAGTGAAATTTGAACAATTAAACTTCAGAAAATCGTAGGGAATTTATTAGCATGATTAGATGAGCTTTGAAAATTGTACATGAATGGAATGGTCATCCAGAAAATTTTAGCCAAGTGAAAGAAAATTCTAGGCAAAATTTGCTTCTCCGAACAGATATTTTACAGAAAACAGTCGTTGGATGCCCTCGACCAGAACTGTGAAAAACAACAATAGGACTAATAAATTGCAGCACACTTTTTGTACATTTCCTTGCCATTGATTTGCACGACTACAACCTGAAAGTCCAGAAACTTCCTGGTTCTCACGTTCTATGGAGGAAATGCACTGCGCTCATGTCTTTTAGATCCGCTGTAAACTTCGTATCTGTTCGGTGATCCTAGGGCAAATTGGACCTTTTTGAAAATTACAAGGGCTTCAATATTATTTTCCTGATTGATTGACCTAGAAGCAACAGTACCATCCCTCCCATAGCAAGTGCGTCATTGTCGCGCGGACGCGGTCGCTAAGCTTGAATATTCACATCGCGTATTAAACCTGGTAGTTTGCGGTCATATCGAAGCATAAAGGTCAACAGTGTTTGTTGATGAGCGAGCGATCATTGTGCAGTTGTGATGAGTTTTGTGGAGCAAGTGAGCAAGAAACCAGAGGACACGTTACCTGCAGATTACCCGATGTCAATTGGGAGCGGATGCGTCGATTATTCTCGAATTTATAGCACTTCGCGTGAGGGCGCGTGGATATGGTCTGTTTGTTTTGTAGCCAGCCTTTAATTCTTCTTTGGTGGATAGTACCTAGAATTGCAAAACTCAACAAAATACCACTTTAACTGGCCAGGAAAGACAAGAATATGTTCAGTTAAAGGTATCTTAGCTTTGTTTTGTTATATTTTGACTTTTGGACTATTTTAGTTCAATGGAGTTTCGACGACTCGTCCTATTTTGCCCATGTGAATATTAATATATTCATTCAGTGACACATACTACGTCTGGGTGGCCTGTGTTATTGTTTTACTCAGTTTTAAAATAATTGCCTCAAAAATAGATAAACGCGTAATGTTAAGTTATTTATTGTAGTTCAACAAACGCCTTGAATTTGTTTTTTTCAAACACCATCCAAAATTCCCATGTGCACGAGCCAAGCAAACTCGTTTAAAATTTGCAACATAATTTTGCATATTACCACAGAGCAAAACCTAAACTCAAATCACTGTCCTAAAACACCTAGGATTCAGTGTTTTGAAATACATTGTCATAACGTTCTGCTGACATAGCATTGAAGCGTCAGTAATGTTTGCCTTCTGGGTTTCTAGTAATTTACTGGACTTGCTCCTATAATGCACCACGGGCTATGAAACATGGACCATGCGTCATACATCATTCCTCAGCGAAGCAACCTCAATTGAAATAGGTGTGTATAGAAAATGCATTCATGCAAAACAAACCATGCACACAAAATCAAGTCCCCTCTGAATGAGTGAAGAAAATTTCCATATGGAGTTGAGTAGAATAATCACTTTATGACTATATTATATATCCTAAGCTTTAGTTATAGTTATAGATATGAAATAAATCTTATCTGAATAATGCACCCAGCTAATTCATTGATTCTGTACAGCAAAGAAAAAACTGGCCGGATACTAGGCACCTGACATCAATATTCAGTGAATGTTTCTGGCCTCTGTTATTCCAAACAAATCGAATTTTTAGAAGAATTAATAAACTTTCTGAGAACCTAACTTCTTTATATAAGTATCTTCACTTTAAATATAAAACAGTTTCTTTGAAAGTATCACATATTACCCACCCTTTTCTGAGCAGCAATAATTTTGCTGTGCGGTAAACAGCGTAAATGTTAGCCATGAAAAGTTTACTCAACTGAACAGAACGTTGTCTTCTGTGACTGTTTCGCAAGCTTTAAACTCGTCAAAACTTTCATCTTAAAGCTAAAAATAATGTTCAGCTTTCATTCGAAATGCTGCATTTACCGAGAACTGAAAAGGGCGCCTCAAAAATTGAGTTTTTGTTTCAAGTGTCCAGATGCTGGTACCATCCAGATACTGGGGAACATAATGTATTTTTAATTTTCAGTGGACAAAAACCTTGTACCAGAATAATTTGAAGAATATTGCATTCTTTTTTACATTTTTCAAGGGCTATAGATGTGACTAGTTATCTGTAATAACACGAAAGAAAATTTCTTATGGGAGCCCAAGAAAATAAATGTCAAATTTCACAAGAATTGTGAAAATACAGGTAAAATTCAAACTGTTTTAGGGACTTGTCAGAAATTAGCAAGGGGGGAGGGGGGGTGAAAACAGAGGGAGGGTCACAACTTTTTGAGACTGCACAAAAGAGAGGGGTCATGAAAAATGGGCTGTTAAAAGGGGGAGGGTCGTGCAAATGTGTGTCCGTGATCATGTAGAGGTTCACCCACAGAAGAAAAAAGAAGTTCTTTATTTTGTAAAAAAAACCTGGGAGAAATAAGAGAGTCAAATGATCAGCCGTCAGAATCAGACTCTTCATGTTGTCATCTAAAATGTATGTATATGGCATTACAAAGAACAGATTAGAAATATATTTTGAGCTTTCATAATACTGACTCACCCTAGTGTATTGCAAGAACTAGATTTTATCATTTATACAAGAAGGGGAGGGTCATGATATTTTAGGCCAAGGTCAAGGGGAGGGTTAGCAAATTTCACTCCCATTGCAGGGATGGGTCACCTCATTTCCGAACCCAAATTTAAAATTTCCACTTCCCCTCCCCCCTGCGAATATCCGACAAGTCCCTTACGATGAATTTAAAGCTACAAAATGCTGCACAGACGTTTTGTCTTTGTTGAGTGTTATGTGGTAAAATTGCTCTCATGCGCTGCGTGACTTTCTCGAACGTTCTGTACGTTTTTGGATCATTCATGAATGATTAATTAGGGCATGTTTACATTTGAGCATGATTGAGCAGATCTGCATCAGTTACTACTACCATTCGCCTGTTTAGTATTTTCTAGAACCTTATGTGTAGTACTATACTAGTTCTAAGCAAGTTGTTTTGAAAATAAAGTTTTTTCCCACCAGCTGGAGTGCCGTGCTTAGTCAAGTGTGACGAAGGTCGATTTTCGAATTCTGTATTTACAAGTTGGCGGAAGCCGTAAGATATCTGAAGTTCAAGAGAGATGTTGTTATTATTGGCAGACTGTTTAGTTTTACTTAAGTTCTAGTCAAGTTTGTGTTGGCTGATGCTGTGATTTAAAGTTCTGGAAAGACTATGTTCCTTTGGTACTAAACTTCCTTGTGTTAATCCGACATCGATCCAATTGCCATTCTTGCCAGACATCTGGAATGCTGATATTCAAAAGACCGCCTTTTTGGCAAAAACATGTACCGTCTGAATGGTTTGTAAAGAGAGAGCTGAAGCTTTGGTAAAAAATATCCGTTGAGTTTTTTAACAATTGTTTATAATTCACCTTTCATTATTCGTGTCTCAACCTGGTGACTGTTCTGTTTTTTGTGACCATTGTGTTTGACGAAGTAAGACCAAAATAATGTCTTTTGTATTCACAAGAAACTGATCATTGTTTGTCGCAGACTGCGAGCAGTAAAAAAAAGAGAGACTGCTCTTAGTCTATGTTTGTTGTATTTGCTGTGGGAGCAAGTACATTAAAAATGTTTTATTTCGCTCAATTATGATATCACTTGAAAAAAGCACCTCGTCTTGACAATTTCCGGTAAACAAAGTAATTAAGTTCGGACCATGCTAAGAAGCCCCCTACTTTTGAATGCTCGCATATTGACAGCTGACATTATCGGATTAGTTAAGAAAATGGTGGGCCGAATACAAAAACACCGGCTCTTATAGCAGGTGCTCCCATCCCTTTTCTTTCCGAGCGCTCTTTTCTCCTTCCCCCTCGCTCCTTAGCGTCTTGTTTAATACTGTTGTGGGCTGTCAAATTTTGGACATAAAAAAACCTACAGCCATACATGGGCCAGACAAATGACATTCTAATGAGATGCACATCACGTACCACACACAGTTGACAATACATATTTCCCAGAAACCTTGCTTGTTATTAGTGGCAGAAACTGTTTACTTAGATGCCATACATGGGCCAGACAAAGGACAGTCAAATGAGATGCACATCACGTACAACACACAGTTGATAATGCATTTTCCCAGAAAACTTGCTTGTTATTAGTGGCAGAAAATGTTTACTTAGATGCCATACATAGGCCAGACAAAGGACAGTCAAATGAGATGCACATCACGTACGGCACACAGTTGATAATACATATTTCCCAGAAAACTTGCTTGTTATTAGTGGCAGGAATTGTTTACTTAGATGCCATACATGGGCCAGACAAAGGACAGTCAAATGAGATGCACATCACGTACAACACACAGTTGATAATACATGAATTCCCAGAAAACTTGTGAACTTAAAAAAAATAATAATCTCTTGTAAATTAGTATCTAAAAGATTTTCAACATAATCTTGTTCTCCAAGATGAGAAAAGTATTTCCAAAACAATGATATTTCTGTTAGTTTCTTTACTTAGAATTTAGAAATTAGAAGTTCGACTCAGTGTGTGAGGACATGAATATTTTATAAGTGTCAAAAACATTGAGATTTTACTCTATGCCCAAGCTCAACAGTCGCTTCTACTGTTAACCCAAGGCAAAATTTACAATCGCTTTCGGTTTTTCAAACATATATCTTGTATTCTAAGAGTATTTAAACGAGCTATTTCGAGAAAATTGGTCAAAATTTCTGACTGCCGGGTAGCTAGTTTTCTGAAACCAGTTCCCAGTTTCCGGGAAAATGGACACCAAGTTTTTTCTTTTTCACCAATAAAACTTGAATGTATGTGGCTACACCTATTATTAGCCATAATGCTCTCTTTAAGGGAGAAAAATATCGAGGACGTGACGAAAACAGTTGTTTTTTACCTAAAATGCACTCTTTGTTCAATATCATGATTTATAACAATTGATTACAACAGACTTTAATTTTATCATCCTGGGGAGGTATCCTAGTTCTAGCGCTGCGTTTTTATGGGTAGCGTACAACTCGCGCGCTATGCTTTGGGCATGAGCCTGTATCTAAATATAAGAAAGAGAAAGCAAACCGGTAATCAGGTTAGTTTCTTTATTTAGAATTTAGAAATTAGCAATTCGACTCAGTGTGGAAGAACATGAATATTAATTTTTATAACTGTCGAAAACATTGAGATTTCACTGTCTGCCCAAGGCAAACTTTAGGTTTTTCAAACAAATATCTTGTGTTCTAAGAGTATTTAAACGAGCTATTTCGAGAAAATTGGTCAAAATTTCTGACTGCCCGGAGTCTAGTTTTCTGAAAATAGTTCCCGGTTTCCGGGAAAATAGACACCGAGTTTTTTTTTTTTTTTTTTGGGACCAGTAAAACTTGAATGTATGCGGCTACACCTATTAATAGCCATAAAGCTCTCTTTAAGGGAGAAAAATATCGAGGACGTGACTAAAACAGTTGTTTTTTTACCTAAAATGCACTCTTTGGTCAATATGATTTATAACAACTGATTACAGTAGACCTTAATTTTATCATCCTGGGAATTTAGAGACCTTCTTCCTTGCTTTATGCAAAGAGGAGCGCACAACTCGCGCGCTATGCTTTCAGTTTGAGCATGAGCCTGTATCCAAATATAAGAAAGAGAAAGAAAAACGGTAATCACGTTAACAGAAAGCTTATACTGTACCTCAAATCTTCTCCTCCCGACATTTTTTAAGGCAAAAACCCAGAAAGATGAAGACGACGTCCGACCCAGGTGTGATGCTGCCGTGAGTGGATGAATGTCGCGTAACTCGCGTGATTCTATAGCTTGTCGACTGCAGTCTTTGTGGCCTGCGTTGGCTACATCCTGTACGCCATATAAACATCACGAATAGCTGTTTTCTATCTCGGCCGAAAACTAAACAGCCATTTTTTTTCCAAACGTTGAACGGTTTTTTTTCTCTGTCTGCAATGGCTCGATCGCCAGTAACTTTGGGGGACTTTTTAAGAAAAGACCCTTCCTCTACCATGGTTGGAGCACCGCGACCAAGAAGCCCGAAACAGACAGATAAAAAGTTTAATTACGCGGCTGGAAAAAACGAAGATTGGAATACCGTCTCCAACGCGGTTACTGCGTTGTTTCAACGAAAGAAGTTAACGAAATTCGAATTGAGCAGTCTCATGGAGAAAGTGAAAACAGTGAAACAAGAAATCAACGGCCCTGCCATATGTGAGCGTTTTAAAGAATCTTTAGTAAAGGGGATGATTATACTGCGAGAGGACGTGAAAGCCAAGAATGGCGAAGTTCTTTTGGACAAACTGGCAGATAGTTGGTCTTATTTTTTCTGCACTATATTACCTCTCCTTCAGGCCATTTTTTTAGATATTCAGTCACGGGAAGCTCAGTCTACAAGGGCTATTGCTTTGTTAAGTTTTCGAGATGTGGTTGTTTTGAAAACCAAGCTGGAAGAAGCGTTTGTTATGGACTTGACAGTCCCCCCTAAACTGGTCCAGATGTTATTAATTTTACAGGTGAGAATTACTAGTGTTTATGTTACCGGTCAAAATAAAATTCAGGTTAAATGTTTTTAGCCTAGTTTGATTCTCTATTTCCTTTGTCTTCTAGTCCTAATTATTAGAGTTAAAAATTTGTAACCTGAATTAAATTTTAACCTGTAACATTTGCACTATCCCCTATAATTTTTAAGTCTTTCACTTCTAACAGCACCAGAGTGAAAATTTACAAGACATTCCAAATTTATTTTTTGTAAAATCCTAAGAAATATACAGTACCATGTAAAACAGTATTCTCTGCTTGTGCTGCCTGTTCTGGCTGCTCAGTTTCGTTGTTGAGAACTTTGCCCCGTTCACTAGGGTTTCCAGATCAACGAAAGCTACACTAAGACGATCAGTAGAGTCGATTGTATTTAATCACTTGGCTCACTTGTATTCGCTCGTTACAGCAGTTGTGCAAGAGCTACTCTCTCAAACATGGAAAAGAACGCTCGATTTCATACTAGTATACATTAGATATGATTGGTTGTTGCTAGGCGATAATCAGAAAAAGGTCAATCAATTCTTGCAGCTAAAGTGTTCATTGTCTCATAAAATCTAGACCTAATTTAAACATCCGTGTCACTATATTGTCACGTAACATGAAGTCTCCGACATCGTCGTCTGCGTGGTCTGCAGTTACAAGTTCATCCTCGTCGCCAATGTGTGGTGTAGTCATGAGACAAGGAGATACTCACACTTTCATTGCTTTCCACATAATGTCCTTTATTAACTGAACCACTATCTTTATCGTTACTATGGTAATCAATACACTACAGTAACACTGTAGGATTTTAACCAGAGATCCAGACGTTAGAAAGACATGTCATCTCATCATAAACTGGTCTAGCTGGGAGTAAAAGGGTTAAGGCCATCTTATTCTTTTTTCTTTTTCGTTTAGCACTGAATTTTGGGTCGGTCGATCAGATGAAAAAAGAAAAACATGTAAAAAAAATCACAAGAAGTCTGAGAACAGGAGGCTGAAACCATAGCATCATTGCCATGGAGCCTGGAAACAACAAGACATGGTCACCAGATTGACACAGACTCAGTATTGTGGGAAATATGATGGTTGATGTCATAGTAAAAAGCAAAAAAGATACACCACCAAAACTTCTACATGTATGCCTGGAAATGCCATTACAATGCTCATTTTTCAGATAAACAGGATTAATTTAAGTCAAATCTCAAAAATTTAGGTCGGTCGGATGACGCTAAATGGAGGGAAAAAGGAGGATGGCCTGATATGCATTCAAAATATTTCTCTTCTGTTTCTTAAATCGCTGTTGGCCAGTTAATGTTTCATAACAAGTCAGTGCTGACCAAATTTTGAAAGATTATCGTACACTTTTATTGTTCAGCAACTTTTCTGTTGTGTCAATTATCAGTCACTAGAACAATTTTGAACAATAATGCATGTATATTACCCTTAGTATCTCACAAAGACAGTGTTGCAGCAGTTGAGCTGTTTTGGCGGGGCAGAGTAAAAAGGTGGAAGATTTAAAATGCTTAGTGAAAACCAAAACGCCAAATTACTGACTTAAAAGTGAAACTGCTCAAAGAATATTGACTGGCTTTTAAAGAATTTCTACAGTAAAAAGCATTCATTTGTGCTCCAAAGCTGCTTTGTAGCGGCAAGGCTTTTACTACGATTTCAAGTTCCCGGGTATATACAATCAGTTGGCAGGAAATTGAACATCTGGGAATTTCTTTTGGAAGTTGAAAGTGCCCAGGGGTCATGCCCATAATAACCAGGGGAAATCCCTGGCCGCCACCCCTTAGCGACAGCCTTGAGCTGGCAAATTTTTCGAAGAAATGCTATGCAGAGATTATGAGCTTGAAAGTATTTTGAATGAATAATAAATTTATTGAATTCTTCATTCATGTCATATTAAGAATGCAGTCTGATCTCAGAGGGTATAACACCCCTGTACTGTATTAACTCTTCATTGATCTTCATAATTCTTCAAATCTTATGAATGTCAAATTCAATGGAATAGATAAGAAAAAGACATAATTTAATGAGGATTGACACTAAATAGCCAGAGCTAATAAACTTGTGGCCCTCTTAAATAAATAATAAATAAATAAATGAGGTAAACAGTTAAATGGGTAATACTAAAGCCGCTAGATATAAAATACAAAATAACAAACTAAATAATCTAAATACTATAGATACTACTAAACTATATAAAATACAAGATATAGCTGTATAATGTTGTCTGAACTAATCAATCAACTTAAATAAGTATAATTATTATAATTTATTTCAATTGTCAATTATTATTATAGAGACCCATAGGCCAAGTTACTGTTGATAGTAGAGGTGTAGACCTTCCATACTTTGCAGGAGTTTTTTCAGTTAGTTTTCGGTAATTTTCTGATTGGTGTTTGCCTCCAAATGGAATTTGATTTTTGGGGATGTAATCCAAACAAAGTACCCATATTAGAGAACCCAGTGTCAATGGGTCTTGTTGTTACATGTACGCTTGGCAAAATTAATGAAGGCTCATTTTCTAAAACATTGTAACACTTTTTATGTTGCAGGGCGTTCATGATGACCAAAACAGTAGAAACTATAGAAAACTGGAACATTTAATCTCCTATGTTGTTCAGCCTTACCTGAGTTCAATAGGATTGAGATCAAAGCCTTCCAAACCAACCGTGGAAGCTAAAGTGAGTGAAAGTAGTGAAGAAACAACTAGTGCTAGTAGCACTAAAGACAATGTGACACCCTCCAGTCGAAAGTCTCGACCTTTAAGTGAGAGTTCTCTAGAACTTCAGTCAAAATACTCGGCTGATAGACTTCATGAGACTGCAATTCAAGCAAGAAAGACCAGGCATTTTACCTTTGATGAAGGTGTAAGTGAATCAAGTGGCAGCTCTGTGTTTGCGTCCAGCTCATCCACTGTTGTTTAGATGTACTATCAAATCAGCTGGCATTTCTCCACCTTCCAAAAACACAGCCAACCTCACAATTGCATTTTTAGCTGTCGTGAATCATAGCTATGATCACAACAATGAACTCTGAAACACAAAAACATGCAAAATCCACCAAGACACATCTAATTGATGGCAGCCAAAAATGCAAACTTTTAAAATTGGCATTTAAACTTTAACCTGAGATCAGGCTCTATTTTGGTTTTGCTTTGAAAATTACATTCCGGCGGGCATGGCGAAACTTTTAGCGCTGGCCGTTAGAGAGAATGTATGAGAACCGCTGAAATTGGGCCTGATCTCAGGTTATTTAAACTTCAAAGTATATTTGTTACTGAAAATTGCAGTAAGTTTCCTTCGAAATAAGTTACTTTGGAAACAGATACATGTAGTAAACCCTTGTATAGTTTCAAACCCTTTATGTAGCTGGCCTCTTGGGCAATATGTGCAAGAGTTTTGTTATCAAGTACATGTGGTAGCTAGCAGATCATAACCGAGACTTGGAATCACTATTTCATTTTTGTGTGAAAAAAGAGATGGTAGAGGGGGTCTTCAGTGAGGTTCCTTAATCACATCATTCTGGCCAGTATTTTACTGTAATCTTACAGTCCCAATACTTTTAAACCAATCCTAAACTTGGTCAAAGAGTATCCAACAGAGAGGGAAAATTTCCTCTCCTTTACTGATACTTACTAAAAGAATAGCCAATACAGATATATGTCCAGCAGGTGCAATAGCCTGCACAGCTGGTGGGATGGTTGTACCTGGGGTACTTTCCGCATGATGATTCATGTGGCGGCTCTGCTGCCAAAAACAACAGCACTAACCTGCTAATCCCACCAGCTATGCAGGCTAAATTTTCAATAGATGTGTGACTGCATTGACAAAAATGTATGTACCTTGTAAGATATAATCATTAATCAAAATGATTAATAAAGTAAAATGATAATACGTGTAAAAGTGAATTATTTTCTCTTTGGTAAGGGATTTTTAGGGATAACAAAACAATCAGAATTAAGACAGAATCCACAAGAAATTGAATACCGGTAATTTTGATTTTTAGTGGACAAATACCTTGAAACAGAATAATTTAAAGAATACTGCATTCTTTTTTACATTTTTCAAGGGCTAAGGATGTAATAAGTCATCTGTAGTTAACACCAACTGAAAGAATATTTCTCATGGAAGTCCAAGAAAAGGAATTTCAAATTTCACAAGAATTGTGATTACACAGGAAAAATTATGAAAATTTAATGTGTAAGATGTAATTCTGTGAAATTTGACATTCATTTTCTCGGGCTCCCATGAGAAATTCTTTTTGGTATTACTACAGATGATTTCAAGTGAAAGGGATGACCGAACGATTTTTTTCGGGTTTGAAATTTTCGATTTCGGGATTTTTTGGGGTAGGAAAATTTTGGCAATTATTTTTTGACGTTGCTTGAGTTAACGTAGGAATTTTTTGGGCTATGTTTCTATTTTTCATGTTATATCATTCAATGATTTCTGGAAACTTTTATGGCTTGGAAATTCGGCATGGGATTTTTTTGGTGTTAAATTTTGTTGGAGGATTTTTTGGGGTTTTGTTGGAAGCCCTAGGGATGCCCCCATTCGATGATCCTCCCTGTCTCTTTATATCTGGAGTACCCCCCTGAGGGTGAAATATCTCTTAAAATCTCTTCAGCCTTCTTGTATCTTGTGGGGAACCGTAATTGCAAAGAAATGAATTTCGGGAAAAACAAGAGAATGAAAAAAACAAAACAAAACAAAAAAAGAAAAGGGAAAAGGAAAGAAAGAAGAAAATAAAAGAAGAAGAGGGGGAAGTGCAAACTGAAAGGCCATAAAAACAAATGGCAATGCACGCATGTCCGCTTCTGTTTACCTGTGACGTCACGTTAGAGTGAATATCAATCTATGCGTCACTATTCATACGAATTTTTTCTATGCCAGGAATTGAGAGAAGCAGCTAAAATCAGGGGGAAAAACTCTCTGTTGCCGCCGTTTTGGCGGAGCAGTTTGATTCCTTGGTTTCTTACTTTATGAGCCAACCGTTAATATGGGAGGCTGTATGGGAACATCGAGAGATCCGAGTGTTCGAGTCAGTTCCAGCGATCAATTTGGTAGTACTCCGGGAGGTATTTGCGTAAAATTTTCTACTAGCCACATTTTGCTGTGGCATGTTCTAAGGCTCAAGGTCTGGTACCAGTCGAATCAAAGTGGTTTCATAGTGTCAACTGACGCTTGCTGTTTGTTTTTTCTAGTTACTTTGGGTCGAAATCAGCCGTTGAAGAAGGAACGTCCGCCATGGACTTCGGAAATGCCGCTCACAGAGGGCCAACTCAGGTCCAAAAGGGACGAGTTTTGGGAAACTGCGCCAGCTTTTGAAGGGCGGAAAGAGATTTGGGATGCGTTGAGAGCGGCAGCCGAAACAGATGACCACACTTTGGCACAAGCAATCGTTGATGGTGCAAACATAACACTTCCCACTGGTAAGTTAAAGTTTATGCTCGAATTTACGCTTTGCTGAATCATGTCTATTTCAAGTTCCGTTGAACGAAGCGTATCGAAGGAACCTCACGCAAATATATTTTCATCTCTGTGGCTTCTCTAGACTTAACAGGGATTTAGATGTCAATATTATAACGACTATTAAATGCTTTTAAATGTAGTTCCTTTGTTAAGTGCGTCGTTAGGTGTCTGCGATGCTGTACCGCAAGTTTCGATCACTAACGACTTCTAAGTTTACAGAGCAATATAAGTTGTCACGTCTTAGAAAAATGAGATATGTATGTTTAATCACTGTCCGCATAACAGACCTAAATGGCCCCTTTAGTTGTCGAATTTCATTAATTTTTATTTCTTCATGTCTCCGTAATGAAAGTAGTCGGTAAAAAATAATAGCATATTTTTCATTGTCATTTTTCATTGTTTTACAAGATCAAATATGTTTGAATTTTTACGTGAACACTATGAAACTGACAATTTTTACGACGATTGCTACAGATAATTTGGCATGTATTTTGAAAAGAACGCAAGAATTTGTTTAGTTCTATAATGACAAAAATGGGAACTCTTAGCCTTATTTTGGACTGGGACCATTCACAATCAATTATAAAATGGGAATGGGAGTTTTTTCAAGATCGCAGACCTTGCACTGTAGAGACCATGAAATTTTTTTTAAGTGGTTTTCTAGCTACTAGGCTTACACGGTTGCATACTTTTCAGTTTTCCTGGTCAGCGGACAGATGACAGTGATCACTAAGATTAAACAGACAAAATTTTAGAAATCACGACGAAATAACGCTACAGATAATTTTTTGTTGCAAACTGTATTTTGAAAAGAACGTAAGAATTTGTTTAATTCTATAATGTATAAAAGAGCATTCATGTTTAATGAAATTTAATTTCAAATTCAACCACTTGACTTCGACAGTTGACTACCATGGATGACAGAGGTTTTCTCGCTCCCCAGTGGCAAGAAGTGACTCACTTTTGTGGCTCACCCATTCAATTCCATTGCCCCTAAAGAATAACAGTTGAATTTCCATGTACTCTACAAGCACCTCTTAAAAGAAAGCACTTGCTATAAGCAGCCCCCTCTCTAATAAGCCCTCCCACCCCCACCCCTGCATAAGTTAATGGTGAGAGGGATAAATAATTATGCAGATCGAGTAAACTGAAGAAGAATAACAAGAAGATTTATTTGTAAATGAATGTAGCCTTTAGAACAGTATATCTCTACAACAACTCACAACTCTGGACTTGATTTAAACAGCAGAAATGCCTCTGCCAAACTAAACACAACCTCCGTCTCACTTTATTAAACATGGCCTCTGCCAAACTCTCTTTGCTTTTTAAAATGAGTTAAACTTTATGCTATTATTTGTTTGCTTGTTTACTTTCGAAGTCAAATTCTAGAACCTTCAAAAAAGTCTTAATTATTATTTTACAATTACATAGCATACCAAATTAATTATTTACAAACACTTACATGAGTTTTTAAAATAAACAAACCGAGAATACAATTTAATCGAGAAACTCCTAGCATTATGTCTCACTAGTCACTATAAAATTTAAAAAAAGATGAGGCAAGGGAGCACAAGGAAGCCAATAGGGCTTGTGTATACGACTACCTTTAAAAAATGTATTATCTAATTAATAAATAAAATACTGACATCGGCAAGGCAATTTACCACTAAGCATGTGCAAATTCTCTAGAACAGAAAATGATCATTAAATAGGATAAGAATAGATAAGGCTGAATGTGTAAGTGCAAAAATGAAAAAGAAAAGATGAGAAAAAAATAATGCAAGAATATATGTTGCAGATGTACTGTAATTTAACCTTGGTTAGTAACGTCTACAAAGCAGTGCCGATATCCTTGTTCTGGGCCTCCTATGGACTCAACAATAATTTACCAGAAGATTATTTCAAATTTCCTATCATCTTGATTAGCAAATGCACAGCTTGCAGGTTCAGTTGTATGCACCTTTGCACACATCTGTGGTGGTCTGATGATGTGTGTGTTGTAAACTTAAGTCACACTTGGTTTAGTTGACTTGTTCACCTAGTAAATGTATGCCTTCGTGGTTAATATGCTCACACTGTGGGTCGCTGAACCTCCATTGACTATAATGTTCTGCAATAATTTTGACAAATGGAACAGTAGAGCTGAAATTAATATTTCTGGAATTGCATATGTGTTAGACGTCATTCTGAAGGATGGCTGCTTCAGTTAGATATCTGCAGGAAAAACAATGGTTTATAGCCTGTCCCTTTTGAATAATAGATGGGAGAGGAAGTTGGCTGTAACTAAATTTAAAATTTAAACCGTTTTTGAAGGGGTTTGGGGGAGGGGGGTGGTGGTCCAGTTAGCAGGGCTCTACTGTATACCATTTACTCTACTAAAATTTATTTATCTGTCAGGATCCTTACAAGATGCTTATGATGAACTGGGCAACAGATATGTTCTTCCAGTTTACTGCATCAGCAGGCCAACTAATCTAATTAAGGATGAGGATGTTAGTGGGGAGACGAGCAAAGAGGACGATGATGAAAACGAAACTCCACCGACTGGAGATGAACTGTACATTAAACTTCGATTGTCTTCTGGAAAGGACCTGAAAATGACTGTTTACACTTCTGATACTGTCCTTAAAATTAAAAAGAAGCTTCACAAACTGGAAGGGTTTGAGCCTTCAAAGCAAAGATGGTTTTATGCTGGACGAATGTTAACTGACAAGACAACAATAGGAGAAGCTAAAATTCCCAAAGGCTATGTTGTGCAAGTCATTTTGCCTCAGCCAACGCCAGTTGAAAACTAGAAATGAGACTATAATGTGTTATAAGAGGGCTGGATACATTGATTGTTTTGTTATGGAAATATGAAGGATTAATAACATTTATGTTATAATTTTAAAGCATTATTATTTCATGGAGAATTTTCAGGTAAAAAACAATGATCTTGCATTTTTTTTTAATTTAATGGTTGATACAGTTCCTATTTAAATTAGCTGACATTATCTCCAGTTGGTTTGTATAAGGTGCAGCGTGCAAAGAAAGTCATGTCTGATAGCCCAGGGCTAGTGGATTTTGCTATCGGGCTAGTGATTTTTGTTCTTAACTTGCTGCTTGCTGTTTTGGGGGGATATTCAAATAACAGAAGGATTGTAATCAATCCTGCTAATCAAAAACAGTTTTTGGGCTGGTTGAAATGACTTGTGGGCTAGTACATGCTAGCTTCAGTTTGCCTGAATGGCAGGCTGTAAAACCGACTTTCTTTGCACCCTGAGGAAGGATCACCAATTACATAACCAAAATATTGAAAAGATGATGTTGAGCAATCTTATATGGGGAAGCTCCACCCCAAGGTCCAACCCCTTACCCTTTTATAGGCTATTTTTAAAGGAAAAGGTACCCCTTTCATATACCCTGTATTGACAAACGGTAACCCTTTCTCATACCTTGTTTAGAACTTTGTATCCCTTTTAACTGCTGTAAAATTACTGTCTTTTGAATAGGAATCAATCGCAAAAATAGAACATTTTTTAGACTTTTTAAAGCCATAAAATTCATCTGTTAGCCCTTTTGGGCCCTTTTACAGACCCAAATGACAGATTTCCCCACCCTTTTATATACTTCAACTAGTGAAATGCCTACCCTTTCATGTACCTGAAGCCTGCAACAGGTACCCCTTTCGGGTGGAGCCTCCCCGTATAGGCCATCATAGGGAGTACCCCCACCCCCCCTGGATGTCTACACCATAACAAAGCCTTCAACACCAAAAATAGCTTAGCAATTTAAATATTTGTGCACTCATTACAACAATTTTTGTTTTCATTTATTTTGAGGCAGGAAATGTTAAGGCTAATGATAGTTTTGCACATTAGCTACAACTTCTCTTTAACATCTTGTTTGGACTGCAAAATAATAATTTGTATTTAAGCAGAGAAACACACTCACTGTTGCAACAGCTTTGATCCATTTCACACTAGAGATTATCTATCTCAGACAGGTAATCTGTCTTGAGGTGAATAAGGAGTTGGTTTTAATTTTGGATGACTAATCCGTCTGACTTTACCCCTATGTTTATCCCTCAATTTTGATGGCAAATTATCCGCCTCAGAAATCTGTCGCCAGTGTGACAACAGCCATAGCGACCATTAAATGTGACAATTGAAAAGAATAACTTACGATATTTTTTCACTCTTTTTTTCTTAATGCTTTTTTTTTTACAAATAAAGTAATTACACTGTAGAGACAATTTTTGTAGATCAATTTTTTTTTTCATTTTCAAGGTATTCTTAAGAGTTAAAACTTTGTCGTACTTACAGTAAGACTCCTCCTGTGTTAGGAAAAAAAAGGGCTGGGTAAGAATACAGATTGGCAGTTATCAGTTATGTTTAAAGCTTATAAATATTTTTAGTAAATCTTTTTTGCCTGTATTTTTGCTTTTGCCCAATAATCATTATAATGCATTGTAAAAAAAGGTACCAACCAGGCAGAGCATATTTTGATGTGCTCATTCTACTATATACGCTGTAAGGGAATGAGAAGATGTACAGTATGGGTTCAGGGACACTGTAGTAATCTGGCTGGCTGCTTCTTCAGGAACAAATAAACAGTGAAACACTGTAAACTGCTACTTATATCCCTCTTACTTAAGCCCTCCCAGTTGTAGGCCCATCTACTTGTAAACAAAAAAAAATCATCTGATTATAAATCCTTTCCCCTATCCCTCCCCCTTCCCGCGGATATAAGCTCTCTCCAAATGTACTGGTCAGAATTGAATTCAATTTTGTTATGACGTTTTGAAGCTTGATTTAAAACCAGGAAATGCAAATCATATTTTGATTAGCACTGCCGTTTTGAAGCACTATTTACTATTGCAGTTATAAGGCCCCTCGGATTATGAGCCCCTAAGTTTATACCCCCTATGGAACTGTATAAGCCCAGCGCTTACAGTGTGTAAGTGGCAGTTTATGATATTGTTTACAAGTGTACATACATTTGCTAACTGCTGCGAAGGGACAGATTGATACACTGGGTTGCAAGAATTGAGCCAGGTTACTTAATATTAACAAAATTAACTGAAGTAGTTGAGAAATACTATGTTTGTTCAAAATATAGACACCTATGTTCTAATAAATTCCTCTCTCTTATTGATTCGTAAAAACATGTAATTTATCATCCATTCCAATAAATGGCCCCCTACCACACATGTATTAGCAGTTGGAGATTATTGGATGGGAGTGGCCTATGGCACCCACCTTATTCATAGGTCAAACTGAGGCTGGTAGGGCCAAGAAGGAGGCCAAGCCTGCCTGTAGATGAGCAGGCCCACCACTGTCATTAGTCTCGTGAAATTGTGTAGACAGTAACAATGTGTATTTGATGATTCCACAGAACACTTTCGTCCCTTGTCTAAGTGGAGTGTTGCTACAAAGACCTTGAGAAACAACACCGCTAAAAATTTTGACAACCGTTAACCCACAATAAAACGCGATAGAATTCAAAAGCCAGATACAACGATCACAAGGGGGAATTTTCTAAAATAGCATTCTGAGGCTAAGTTCTCACGGCACTGGACGAATTTTCGACCGCTTGAAAATTCATGCTTTTGGGTATTCCATTTACACGGAACCGCCTTAACCGTACGGAAATTCAGACGCCTGGCGGTTCAAAGTTCCGTGTGAACAGAGCACAAATATTGAACGGTCCCGTGTGAACCAAGTGTCCAATCAAAATTTTCAGCTGGTCGAAAGTTCATCCCAAGCAGTATGAACATAGCCTAAAATCTCACAGAAGTTCTAAATGCTGGCTGTAATTATTTTTAAAACTGCCGAACCTTTACCTTAATGCTAATGAAGGAGAAAACACAAACAAACAAAACAACAACAAAACCTTACACCGGGAGTGAAAATCCCAATTGCCCCCTTCTTTAGCTCAAATAATATCTTGATCATGTTGATTGCACTGGCTTATTTTGATCCCACAAGAAGAAGAAACGAGAATATTTAGGTTGAATTTAGAAGTCTTAGGAACCAACGACTTTCAGCTGGCGTTATCAGTTTTCACGATAATGGACAACTCTGGCATTGAACTTGTGCAGGGGGAAGAGAGCTTTCAATCCACACCGAATGAGCACGAAAAAAAAAGAAGGTAGAAAAAAGCCATGTAAAGTTGGCTCGAAAATTTCAATGAAAACCCACCACTTCCCACATGCACTTCCATCCATCAAATCTTAAGATCCTAAAAGTTTTCCCCAAATGTTTTCCCATCGAAATGAAGCCTAGTTAATGCCTGGCATAAAAGGGGCAAGAAAGCAAACGAAGACGGTAGGAGAGAAAATTTAAGTCTCGAATTGTGCTTTCTGTGGATGTCCGAAGCCCGAACTTCAGAGGCTGATATTTAGCCTCAGAACAAAGGGCTGCGAAGTGCTTTATAAACAGGGTATTTGGGTAGTCAGTTGGTTCTTTCGGGCCAGATTGAATCGAGACGTTTCTCCACAAAACTTCCGGGAGCGAATGTTTTAAAAACACATCATCTTTATTAATGATTATCATTCTTGTGCCTGTATTTTTCTTTGTGATATTTTATATAAGGTGGGAAGAGCTGTAGATAAGGGACCTTAAAATCCGACGACGACGATGCACGTGCAGCACAAATTTTTGTACAATTCTTTGCCGTCACTGCACGACAGTGCGACGTAAAAACACCTAATTTCACGTTTTATAAGAGACATCACTGTTTATAAACATCGTTTTTGTTACGAGTGGCACAATAGAAACTTTCGTTTCAAGAACCAATGCGCTTCTGGTTGGTACATAAATATCAATGGGTGACGTAAGCGTGAGTATCGCTATAAATTACGTAAACGAGACATGACAAAATTCCCCTTCTCATTCTGAACTCTGAGATTAGATATGATTCTTAGGAGTTAAACTCTTGGAGAGTTCGTCAACATTTGATAAAGTAAGTGAGGTCGATTAATCGCGATGAAGATTGAAAAAAAAAAAAACGCGATCTCTCTTTTTATGCAACATTGGGCGATGATTGGGGAATTTAAGCAACGACGTTTTTGAGCGACGAACGTCAACCGGAAGTGGATTTTTTGCACTCCTCGGCCGTGCTTTTGAACAAATTCTTGGGCAAATCGTCTAGAGCAAAGAAACCTAGCCATACAGATCTGGTAGCGTCAAGGCATATTAAAAGAGACAAGGCCTCACTTCCGGTTGACGTCCGTCGTCCAGAAACGTCTGTGCTTCGGCCGTCACCGTCCTCGGATCTTGAGGTCCCGAATATCCAATAAATAAAATAATTAATTGCAGCTCTGGAAAGGTGTCAACAGAGGGTGAAAGCTGAACAGAGAAAATATACGAAGGATACCGAAGGCAAAACGTCTTGAACTTCCAGTTGAGAATACAGTCCCTTAGCCTGGGAATACAGCTCTCTCCTCGCTGTATTCGCAGGCTGACAGTCCCTCAGCTATTTTCACGTCTTTTGACAACCACGAGTTTCGTTATTAGAGTCTGGCAGACCCAACAACGTTTCTGCTGTTTTCACAAATTCTAAAGTCCGCATTCCTTTGATCTCTACTTATAAGTTTCCAAGTACAGCATCAGAATACGTCCTCTGGTCTGTCCGACGGTCGCTAAACTTTCAGGTATTTTTAACGACCTGTTCGTCTCTACAGGTAGCCCCTTTTCTCAAGGCAACAAAATACGTCCTCTTGGCCGTTTACACCCCAATTTATATCACCGGGTTTCGCTTTTTATTTTTTCTAAATTCTGTAGTGTTTCTGCTACTCTCAGACACTTTTCAACAATCTCTTCATCTGCGCTGGTAGCACTTCTCCTCAATGCAGCAGAGTACATTCTCTTAGCCGCCTCCAGCCCGCCCCAGTCCTTACTCGACTTGCTTTTATTTTTTGACAAAGTGTTTGCCTTTACAAGTTCTTTCAACACGTTCGTAAGCCGCGATTCCAGGATCTGAACCAACTTTTTCAACTCATCAAAATTTATTTCCGAGAGTTCGCGTTCCTCACTGTTTTCTCTCTTTGCGGCCTGACTTTGACCAGTGCCTATTTCGTCTTTTAACGTCCCTAAATATTCCAAAGCTCTTCTCGTTGCAAAAATATGCTCCAGAGCAGTTTGTAAAGTCCTTACCACCGCCGCGGATCCACCGTAAGTTGTCACGTGGTATTCGCACATGGCGACTTGCTCCAAGTGGATTCGTATATACTCACAGGGGTACTCTTGGGCTCTTAGACTCGCCGAGGCCTTGCCGTAATGAAGCTCGGCTAGCGAGCGTGCTTTCTTTTTCGAGTGATCAACGACCTAACGGGAAAAAAGATGCGGTATCAGTGTGCCTCGTTTTCAGTCGCTCACAGTGGCTTACCCAGAAAAAAGCCTGGGGACGATGCATCCATATGACCTTCATTTTGTGTCAAACCTTTAAGTACAAATAGTGACCTACATCAATTTTCTCCTAACAATGTCCATACGTTCTCAAAAGATATTGTTACGAAAATTAATTAAATGATCACCAAAACGAAAATGCTTTGATCTTTTATTAAAACCTCTCAACTTATTTTTAAGGAAATGTATGATTATCAGTCTGGAGAATTTGTATGTGGATATTGGGGCTTAAGGGGTTACATGTCACGAGGATATTGCTGTTTTAGGTCAATTCCGAATTAGAGCGATTACTTGGTACCTTTATCCAAACCCAAAATGCTCCTTCAAGGTTGTGAAGAATATATTTCACACCACCGCGGTCAAACGTCTAAATCGTTATTTTTGTTTTTTATTGCTGGGATTTCATTTACCAGTTAGAGAAAAATGGGCAAATGCACAGTTTCCACACAGGAAGACAGCTAGTGGGGAGAGACCTATCACGTGTACAGACCAAAGAAGGCACTGGTTTTCCAAATGCAATGAAGGGGCATTAGTATGCCCCATTATCACTCTACTCAGTAGCAACCCGGTAGGTCATTTTCTTCGAATAAAGTAAGACCCGTATTGAGGGGTACGGAAATCACGTAAAAATCCTGTGGCATAACTAGAAGAATTGCTAACACAACCACAAAAGGGGAAGCCTCACTACACGAAAGGTTAGTAAGATGTTTACTATATCGCTGGGTTTAAGTAGAGATTGAGAGGACATTTAAGATTTTAATTCAAGCGGAACGGCCGTTGATGATCGTCGTGCATCAAATCCTAAACATAAGCGCCTAAGATCGTTGCTTCGAGTCATCAAAAACTTTCGTTTATACTAGACATACCCATTTAAGTCGAAAACTACATGAAACGAACTACTGACAATGCTTGTTTGTTTGTTGTTGTTTTTTTTTTTGCGACACGAACTGCAACGAAACAATCCTTTAAATCTACGATCCGTGAGAAATATACGGCCAGCTTAAGTTACCAATCACAGTGCGAATACTTACTAAGAAATATAATAATTAACTCTCGGACGTACGCGCAAATTCATACCCCCACTGTGGTACAAGGGGGGTGGGGGGGTTGATGGAACCCTAGAGTTGCTGATGTGTTGCAGTATTTTGAAAAGATTTTACCTTCAATGGAAAGCCTTAGATCTTTTCAACAAGATGAGGTATTTTGTGTGGGTGGTGGCGCTACTGGAGGCCTGTGACGTCACTAACAATGGTCGCCATCTTTTGCTGCACAGTTGACGTCATTTTCACATATCGCAAAATTCTTCCAAATTTGGTCTACAGTAGTTGGTGACGATGATTTTTGCGTGGGATTTTAGCCAGTCAGAAACAGAGGAAGATTTGGAATGAAAAATCATACATTTTTTTCTCACCTGATTTCTGTAGGAATTGTGGTACAGAGACGCCAGACGGTGGTGTATAGAGAACATGCGATAATCGAGCTGGCGTGAAGACTGGGATCTAGTCTGCCACATTTTCACCAAGGTACTGGATTCACACAAACGAAGAGCTTTCATCATCAGCTCGGTAACTTCTTTCTCAACCTATTAATAAAAAAAATAGCATGAGAAATCATAGACTATTTGACGACTGGTATTTTCTTTGCTTTACAACGGAAAGAAAATAGGAGATAGATAATACAAAAATAAAATAAATAAGGGAAAACTGAAGTGCCGTGTTTTGCTCCCAATTTTTCACTTTCGATCCTCTCCCCACATTTGAGGGTCTAAAACAAGCTACATGGTTAACAGCCTCCCGTTGTTAGACGAGGTGTAATTGAAATCTTGCTATGTATTGCATATCAGAAGTCCATGAGTCCTTTATTGATACAGCAGTTCATGAGTTACCTGTTCCTGGGCATAAGTAGAGAGAGGAGCAAAGTCTTGGAGCAGTGTAGCCATAGTGAAATACGATCCAGAGAGCTCCCACGTGACTGTATCCCAGACTTCCGGGTTCTTTTTCCTGTCCACCAGGCAACGCAGAGCTCTGTTGTAAAACTCAAAGGCCTGGAACGAATAAATATATAACTAACTAACTAAATAAATAAATAATGACTCTAAGGTAAAACCTGTTTTAAAACAGGTTAAGGCTCTCGCGCATTTGCTTACGCTTATAACAGCTGCCTCTTAACGCGAGCCCGCTGTGAATTTGCGCTCTTTCAGTCTTTATCGCGATTATTCCTACCCACTTACTTGGTCAAATCTTTGTCAAATGTAGGCGAACCAAACTGCAGTTGAATTCTAAGGGACCTTATCCAAGTTCAAAAAGAGAAATAAAATTTCATTGTTGCTTGTTTAAGTTTGCCATTAAACGTGAAATTAGGCATTTTCACGTCGTAGTCGAGCAAAAACGGAAAGACGTGTACAAAAAAGTGTGATACAGGAGCAAAGCTTCTGTTTTGCTTGTTAAAACTATTCTTTTGTTTTTTTGACGTTCTCGTGGGAATCAAGAGGAAGTGCTGTCATTTGACGTTTTGGCGTGGGCGTCACGTTGACGCACATGCTCGATGGAAAAGCAAACGATCGCTCGCTGTGGTTTCTCGTCCTTGGTAGCGTAACGTCCAGCCTTGAGAGACAACTGCTCGCAAGGTACAAATTCTGTGGTGTTGCGATTCAAATAAAACCTCTTCAGTGAGCAGAACTTTCAGATAGTACTATATATTTGTAAGGATTTTACAAAAAGAAAGTGGATTTTTTGGGGGATTTTCATGTACTTTTGTTAACCAACCTTGTTAAAATATCCTCTTTCTTCTTGACTGAACTCTCCTCTCCTCCCAGTGATTTTAGATTCTACGCCTCCTACGGCCTGGGCACATATCCGCATTAATCGCCCTAAATTAGACAGCAGCAGAGCTTTGTTTGCACTGAGGGAAGAGAAAACAAGTGAAATGTAAGCGCCGAAACTTTTTGAATAAAAAACAGTCTCGTACCCCGAGTTCTTAAGATCATTTTCCTGACCAGCGGAAGGTCGTTCGCGACTACGCAGGGTGCGAGATTAAACTAAAAATAAGAATAGGCTATTTCCGAGTTCCATATATTATTTTCATTTTTAAAACGAGGCTAAGTGCAAAACCTTTGCTGTGAAAATGAGTTTTATTTGCATGAGAATAAAGGATCATTTTCATATCAATGACTCCACACTTAGCCTCGCTTGGAAACAGAGGCTTGAGGCAACTCCGAAATGGCCTATTACAACCAGGAAAAGTGGTAATTCAAAGATTATACTACCAGACGAACACTGAAAAGTATTCGGATCAAATCTGATCGATGTTCGGTTTTGGGGAGAGGGACAGGCAGAAGGGGGTGTTTATAAGGAGAAGAGTAGCTAGAGGAAAACCCCTTGAAGCAAAAAAATGGACTCGGGGATACGAAACCAGGGTCACTTTAATAGGCAGTGATTTTGTTAGAAATAGTTATGGTTAAGTCCTGGGACTCATCTCGCTTTCCTGTAAGGTTGGAGTTTGCCCGCACGTTAACGGAATTTAGACTGACAAGAACAAACAGAAACCGGTCGTTTCGATACAAGTGAATTCTTTTCGATACCAGTCATTTCGATACAAACTCAAGCAGTGAAATAACACAAAATATTTGACCACTTCAAGTAGCGCAACTCTTGAAGAGGAAAAACATTTGGCGGTGAACATTCGTCGTTCTTTAAGCCAAGTACGAGAAACTATCTACACTTGGACTGAATAACGAAACGACTTTGTATCCAAACGACCAGTAACCGAACAAATACAGCAACACTAAGGAAGCTGAAAAAAGCGAAAACATTTTTTTCTAACCTGTCGTCTATAACGTCAAAGGTACGAATCCCGCTCTCGAAATTCGAAAAGCTTTTCTTCCATAGGTCTCTCTCCTGTAACGTGGGTTCTGCCCCGCTGTCTATTAAGGTGGCGGCCTTGTTCGTATAGAGCACGCCCAGTTCGTTCTTCACATTTCCAAGCCGCTTGGTGATGTTCACCACCAGAGGAAGTTTGGTCGATGTGGTGCAAAGTTGAAGTGCTGCGTCATATAGGCTAACACTAAAGTGTCCAGAGAAAATAGACAACGAAGGGATTAGGAAGAAGCCAGTACACTTTGTGGTATCACAACTGCATGTGCTTGCCTTTTGTACGGAAAACCCGGTATTTCCGGTGAGAATTTTAATAGAAAGGTTCTTCCCGGTGGAGATTTTTCGGAAAAAGGCAATTCCTTCCGAGATGTTACTTTTTTCCGGCTTTTCTCTAACGACCCAAATTTTTTGTAACATTTTAATTTACCGGTTTTTTGTACATGGTGCAACTCAATCTTATTCCTGTTTTTGGTGTGAAATAAAATACAGGTAGAAATTTCCGCAAAAACGGAAAGCGCTCTGGATCACGCAGAAGATGCTCCAAAACCTTTTATCAGCTCCAGTTTCTAGAAGAAAACTATGGGCTAAACTTAAACATCTTTAGTGGAACCGACCCTAGTTCATTTTCCTGCTAGAATTCGTCAATCGTGAGTATAGCAACTTCATATGGACACCACAAAACCTTCAAAAAATGCGTCTTCTGTGCTTTTTTCATCAGTCAGAGCTAACATCAAACTGAACCACTACGAATGCCACTGCGAGCAGTGTCAGCGGTTACATATTTTGGCATCTTTAAGACACCTGTATGGTTACCTCTGTTGCATGTTTTGCTCCAAATCACACACGAATTTAACGCTTGAAGAATGTCCTTGTTCGCTTGAGATGCAATCTGCTGCCGCTTCGCATATAAACGTGTCTTCTTCCGATCTGAAGTGGAAATCCTCCTGATGAACAGCTAGATTTTCCAGACAAGTCGCTAGCATCAGGTAAGAATCTCCGCACACGTACAAGATTTCGATCATCAACTGATCATCTACAGAGAATACGAGAAAAGAAACAACGTTAGATAGGTCTCTCTATCTCTCGAGGGATGCGAGAGATGTTACCGGGCAAGTCTATTCGTGCACCCCTAAACTTTTAAATTTGGTTCAACACCAATTTCAGGGCAAATCTGTCCTCACAACATGTTCCTGAAGTTGAACTTTGTGGGGAAAGTTGTCGTAAGGGTGCCATGAACATGTGTGTTTAACAGCCCGAGCAATAACATCCCTGTGACGGAAGTTAGGACTAATATTAGGTTTCATTTTTATTTCCCAGTTTGTTTACATTTTTTCCCTTTATCCTCGAAAAGCTCTTTACAGAGAGAAGATAACTAGGTATTTACTTTAGACGTACTTATTAACCTCTATTAGTATTAATTATTTACCTTCTTTTATGTCAGATTCCGCAATAAAGACACGGGAAGCTTCGAGGCACTTGAAGGCAAGTTTACAGTTCTTCAAACCTCTGCCGAATTTTCCATTTGAATTAAACATACACGCTAATGAATGGTACACAGCTCCCGCCTTACGGAACAACAAACCAGCAGTCTTGTCTTGCCAACGAGCTTGCCCTTTAAGGACCAGCGGTGTCTCTCTAGCTTTACAAGGCTGTAGCTGATTCTTCAAAGAAGGCACCACTGCATGAGGTGGACTGGGACTAGATTTCGCATCAACGTTTTTGAAAGATGGAGACTGGTGTGAAGAGGAAATGCCTTCACCCGAAGAGCTGCTTTCTGTGCTTATATCAAGGTCGTCTTCTCTAGGGTCAATGTCTGGTACTAAATGCTTCTTAACACATGCAAGGCCCTTGAATGAAAAAGATCATCATACCTAAGATTTCGATTCTTCAGATAACTGCAAACTTCAGTGAAACGTACACTTACCTTTACGATATACGACAAAGCCACCTTACACCTTTCCTCGACGTTGCATGGCAACGGCTTCGAAACCTGAGTGGAGAGACAGAAAAGACCACAGGGTCAAGGCAAGACATCAGTGACTCGCCCCGAGCTATAAAAGGCCTCCAAACAGACTATGCCACAGAAAAGTACTTCAAGAAAGACTGAGTGGGACGATGTTCTGTCGGATTACCCTATGGAAATGTTTTTGGGTCGCTATTGCCTCTATAATAAACAACCTACGCCACTATGACGGTGACGTCAGCAGAAACGTTACCTACAAATTGAGTTCACGCTGTTGCAAACTTAATCACGATAATTCTGCTTGGTTCAATTTGTCAAAGGTAAGCGAATTATGCAGGAATTATATTGTTAAGGATCGTATCCAAGTTCAGAAAAGGTAAAAGAAAATCGTCGTCTCGTGTCGCGTTTACGTCTTCCATAAAACTTGCAATACGACACTTGCACATTTCCCATAATGCACCTTATTTGCTCCCTACCCCCCAACCCCCCATCCCAAATTTTGCATAACCTTTGTTTTTCACAGCTTATGCAAAATTTTAGGGTCAAACAAGGTGCATTGTGGGAGATGTGCAAGTGGCCTAATAGGAAATTTGACGTCGTGGTCGTGCAGTGACGGTAAAAAGATGTATCAAAAAGTGCGCTGAACGTGCAGAGTTGTTTTTCTCATTAAACCATTTTTTAGACGTGTTTTAGGAGTTCTCGTGGCCATCGCCGTCGTGGTTGAGTATTAAAGCTCCCTGAATCACGAGGTTGCGCGGAAAACTCTCTCTTTCCCCTCCAAAACAGTCCCATGGTGCAATTCGACACCACACCGACCCAATCTCCTCGCCACTACAAAGTGACCAATCACCAACGCAGCTTTTCTCCATCGACAGCGTTATATTTGATTTAAAGTATTTTCATCTACGACTACAGCCTTTCAGTGACCTTTCGTTACCTAGCCTGCCAGCAAGCTCTCCAATTGGGGGATATCGCGAATAGCACACGCGCGAGTGGCAAGCGAGGGGAGACGCCCCTTGCGGCTTTGTCGCTCGCTCGCGGGTACCGCGCTGGTGTTGCTCGCAGGCTATTCGTTACCGATCTTTAAGCCTTGTTTCATAGGAAGCAATTACAATTTTGGAATACTGAGTTTCAAAGCTTCCTTATTGATAGCTATCCTCCGGGAAATGAACTTTCTTCGTCTACAACTGGAGGCTTTATCAAGGACGAAGAACGGTCACGAGAACTTCAAAAAAGTAACAGGATTGTTAAGTAAAACAAAGGCTTTGCATATACATCACATTCTTTTGTACATTTCTCAAACGATTACTTAATTTTTCTTACTCTTTCTAAGCTTGGGTGCAGTCCCCTAGATTTCTTCTCCAAGGAATTCAATTTTGCATGAGGTGAATGGGAATATATAAAAAAGACTCATATTTTGAACTGCGGATAACGATATGAAAGAGTCGTTCAAACGCGAGGATCAATCCACTAAAAAGCGTGCCGTTAGAAGACGCGACAACGCCCAGCGTTTGAAAAACCGCGACTTCATTTTTTAGCCGTTTTCGCTGCCTTCGCAGCTGTCGTTGCAACCCAATAGGGAGCTTAAGCAGCGACGTTTTTGAGCGACGCACGTCAACCGGAAGTGAGGTATTTTCCCTCTTAACATGCCTTGATGATATAAAATTTGTATTCCTTAGCTTCTTTACTACTATAGAGGCGATTTGACTGAAAATTTGCGCGAAACCACCGTCAAAAAATGAAAAACGGTCACTTCCGGTTGACGTGCGTCGCTCAAAAACGTTGTTGCTTAAGCTCCCTAATGAATCCTTGCGGAAGCCCTTAACTATGAGCCAACTAATAGCGCTTCTATCTAACCTTAATCCAGTCATCTTGCTGAGTCACAGGCGTAGATAGCTTTGTTACATCCACAGACTGAAAAGGAAATAAAGGAAATCACATATCAAAGCTAAAAGATTTTGTTTTTTTTTTGCAAATTGAAAGTTGCCTTTTGATCATCACCGGGATTGAAAAACGCCAATCAACCTATTCCTAGGGTCTTTTCCTGAAAAATGGAAAGGGCCAGCCGTTCCATGTTTTAACTAGAAAAGTCCGGGGAGGAAGTCTTCAAAGCAACTAATCTTTAACCTTTAACCATTATTCAACTTCAATTAGGCTGGCTTGCAAATAGCGCAGAGCTAACCGCGGCAAGCCAGACTGTACACAAAAAACTGTCTTATATAGATATACATTTTATCATACAGAAAATGCACATTAACATAAAACTTTGTGCAACATATGTACGCTAGTCTTCATATTATTAATAATTAAGAAACAAACAGACGAAAACAAAAACAAAAACAAAGCAAAATGCAATATGCTAAGAGGAAAGCTACCAAGTCAACTTAAGTTAATTTTTTCACTGTACTAATTAACACACGAGTTTCAACATAATGAGCAACTCGTACCTTCGAAGCCACAGCAGTGTCATCTTCCTCATCATCGCCAAAAGAAATATCTAAAAAGTCGGCCTCGTAACTTTCTTCGTCTTCTGTTCCCTGTTCTTGTTCAGTTGTGTTGATGGCAGGCAAAGCGTGTACATCATCGGGCGAAAAAAGGTCTGATAACAAGTAGCTTGCTGATGCGAAAATCTGAAAGCGAGTGGACCAGTGAATTTTGGTCTCTATTAGCGTCGATTCAATGTAAACAGTCACAAAATTGAAACGATTTTTTAAGAACGGTTTCCAGTAAAAGGCGAGTGTACACATTGTGAGTGTACATTGTTCTGTAGATATGAAAAACTAAAAACCCGTTTCAGATTTTAGGCTAAACAGGTTCTTTAATAATGGACTTCTTACTTGCGGGTTTTTATACTTTATCATGAAATCATTCCATGGTCACCAAAAGAAAGTCTTACCTCGGGAAATCTTTCACTGTCTAAAAGCAGTAGGCAGTTACTAAGTAATTGGCGGACTGTCCCTTGTTCTCTGAAAAGAGGAAAAGCATCATATTTTTAGCTTGAGAAAACAGCCTACAATTCATGACGACACCTCTGATTTCCCCGCCTAAATTCTGCTAAGTGAATTTAGGCACGCTCACCAAATCCACTCTCATTTCACCAGACAACGTGATCATGCCTGTTGCGACTGCCTTTAGCTAAAACCACCAAATACCAGGGCAGTTTTAGGATCAATGGAGCACATGCCTATAATTTCCTCCCCTCTAATAATAAGATTTGGAACGGACGTAAATTCGTTCAAGTCCTTGGCGAAACGGCTTTTTAAGCGCCAGGCTATCTCTTGAATCGTTTTAATCGCTTCGTTTTGTTTGGTTGTTTTTCTTTTTACAGGACTCTGTTTAAATTAGCTTCATGCTCAACCAGATGTTCCTGTATAAATAAATAAATGACGTCTTATAAACGAGCGCAGAAACTTCATACTGATGACGCGACACCACGCAGATCTACGTATTGATTGAATGAAGCAAATTTTCAACCAATCAGCATCACTATCCAGATCATCCGGGTAGTGACGCGTCATCGGTATGGAATTTCTGCGCTCCTTTCTCACACGTCATTTCGCGGGGAAACCAGTGGTAGCGTCGTGGAATGTCGGCTGTTTTCTCAGGCTGCGTATTTTTACAATGAGTTCCTGATGATCCATTTTCAGAAATAACGAACTTACCCTGCACTAAGTGGCGACTGATTCATCATGTTCTTCGCAACTCTGGTGAGGGATAAATGAAACTAATAAGTCAGTGTTTGTTTAACAAAAATAGAGCGATCAGTTTTACGTGTGCCCATTGGTCGAGAGCCATGGTTGATGTTTTTCAAAGTAAGGCAAAAAAAAAAAAAGAAACTGACACAAAAAAGGTTCTAGGAGTAGGCGTGGCAGGTATCAAACAAAGACCACAGGTAACAAGTGCAGTTCACTGCTCTACTGATAAATAACTGAGATAAGCAGTTTCCCCTTTAAGCTCAAACTCTATTTTGGACTGTGATTGCGGCTAACAGACACTTTCAGCGTTGTTTATTTAATCGTAACACGGTGACCTGTACTCTACCCTGACTTGCGACCTGAAACCTGTCACTTGGGTTTTCTACCTGCCGTTCCAGGCGATATGAAAAATACCTTAACTAAAAATAAACTTTGAACATTTGAGCGCTAAGTAACCTGTTCCAGGCTGCGAGACGGTCGAGTCCAAAAAAATGAGAAAGCGCGAACACGAAATTAAAACGGGAGAAAACTGGGGAGAGGATGGGCGGCTTCACTCCTTTTACCCGCCACTGTCCCCTTTTCCCAGATCACCCCCCCCCATATTTTCGCGCACCTTTCACTTACACGTCATCCCTATTATCTGAGAGCCTGGAACTGGCTAAGCGCTAAGAGGCAACAGGTTCCACTTTGCTGTGTATATCAGTTATTAAGGCTTCAGAATGGACAAGAACAACACCTCTGAGGCTCGTTGTTTACTTTTTTTCCTACCACATATTGACACTAACTGGGATCTTGAATTGAATTCAGTGAATACTGACATAGATAGCGGGTCATACGAACCTGTAGAACAGCATAGCAACTGGAACAGTAAACAAATTCTCTGTGTTGTCGTCTGTTCTCTATCAGTTAAGTAATGCAGAAGAGAAGGTGTTAAGAAAAGAATAAATAAAATAAATAAATATTTTCTTTATTTACTTTCGATAGGATTATAACGCAAAGGCTAAAGGGGCTGAGCAAACAGCTAAAAGAACACAACAGAATCAAGAATCCCTACTGACCGGAGGCAACCCAGTTGGTTATTTACAAAGCCTGACCGAGGAGTTGAACACAAGACTAGAGAGAACAAATCCAGCTAGCGCTTATAACAGGACTTGAACTCGGGGCCTCCAGCGTTTTAATCGCTCGGCCACGCTGCTTCTCTGATCGATGATAAAGAATCATCAAGAATAACATGTACAGTAGAATACCGGTAAGTCGAACTCAGAGGGCACACGAAACACAGTTCGAGTTAGCAAGGAATTCGAGTTATCGGTCGGGAGTAGCTTTCAGTGAAATTGGAATTAAATTTAGTTCGAGTTAGCAGGGAATTCCAGTTACCCGAGTTCGAGTTATCGAGGTTCTACTGTATTCAAGCTTTCTAGAAAGCCATACCTGCTGGCAAATTGAGGTCAGATCATATAACTTGATCACATCGCTCCCCGTTGCTGCAATAAATCGAACACACGATTCTCAGAGAAAACTTCCTAAAGTTAAACTTCCCGTAAGCGATCAATCCAAAATGCGACGAATTTGTCGTGGTTTACCACAGTTGGACTACACAGCTCTGTATCGGGAACAAATCTACGCCGAAATAATTCATTGCAGACAATTTCTGAGTTTTAATACGAACAGAGCCATGTTGTAAAAAAAAAAAAAAACGAGTTGCTGCAAAGCGAGTTGAAAAGCGATGTTGAGTGTTCTTCCACCACGTTTTAACCTGTTAACAACATGATTTGTTCGAAGACAAGTTGATGTGGTTCGTAAAACGCTCAACATCGCTATTCAACTCGCTCTGCAGCAATGTTGCCCCTTTTTCCGTGCAGAAAATCAGATCAACCGTCAAGTGTTTGCTCGCAGGAGGTTTAAAACAATGGATACTGCTAAATTATCTACACAAAAGTGGTCGCAGTCACTCCTCAGCCAAATGTGGCCATCCACAGGGCATTCCAACGACAATGGTGTTTTGAATAAGGGGTCTCTTAAGAGAGGTAGTCACTCATCAAACGTAGTTGGGCATTTAGGTTAAGAAGGTGGATAGGTAGCACTTGACTTAAAAATTTTCAAATCAAAAGAGAAACAAGCTAGCCTCAAAAAAGTTTGGCTGGTTTCCATGGAGGGCGTGCTAACATATAAAAGCCGTATATTAAATTACTAAACTACTATTACAATAACTTCTCATATTACTTAAAAGAAAGACAGATAAAAAGTTAACTACTGTAAAGATACACAGCTTGGCTAGACCCAAGTACATTCTAATACACTTCTTCAATGAAGGGAGTGACTCGGCGAGTTTTGCTTCATTCGAGAGTTAGTTCTAAGGAATAGCACCGCTAAATTTAAAACTTCTTTTTCGAAACTCTCTTTTCGGTTTAGGAAGTGTCAGGTTCGCGAGGTGAAGCGAGGGAATCACCAGACAACACACTCACCCTTAAAAAGCCAATACGTGTGTCCCTCTCTGGTGCAATTCGACTTCATGAACGACAAGATGTTTTGCGCTACATCCTTAACAACCTGGTGACAAAGAAAAAGAACAAGTTTACTGCACGAAAACCTGTCCGCAGATATAAACCTTGCGGCTCGAACAATACAGAGTCAATCACTGACTCAAGGGTGCCTTTCTAGTGTGTACTGTACTCATGGTATGAGGCAAGAGCAAGTATGTGGCGTATTCGACATATGCGTTTGTTCACACTCTAGACACAATACAGTCAGACTGCTGTTGAATAGTCGCCCTGGGCCAGGTTCCTCGAAAGATGGCTAAGTTTAACCCAGGATTAAGCCAAATTTTAAGTGAGGTTTTCTTGTCTAAGAAAATGCAATTCGAGCTTAGTTAATACTCTTCAACCTTTACTCCCAGATACAGTAACGATAACACCAAATGTTACCCCAAGCAATGCATAGGAAGGTAAAATACAAAAACGGAACAAAGTTTTAATCCTGGATTAGCGCTAATTGGCCTTTCAGGAATCGGACCTGGAGAATAGAAAGCTGACGGTTAAGAAAGAAGGACATTAAGTAAAAAAAGCAACTGATGAAAAGTGATTCACAAGATAAGTAACAAATGTTACCTTTGGAGAGAAGCTACTTGCTTCCAAGTTTGGAAGCTCTTCTGTTTTGTAGAGGTCATAGTACTGCATGTAAAGAAACCAGAACAGATAACAGAGACAGATAACTCGGAAATGTTTTTCTTTGAATTACAAAATGACTTATTAATTTTAGAACTACAAGGGGTCTTTACAGCCTAGACCAGGAGTGAAAATCTTGAAGATAAATTTATTGAAGCGATAACAAGCAATCCCCAAGAAAAAACTGTCTAAAAACAAGAATAAAATACGCGATCAGCAGCAAACAAATTATGGCAAATATTTTACAGATTCTAGTAGACCATTTTAAGGTTGTAGACTTAGTAACCTAGCCCTCGAGTGAATGCGAGGCTGAAGGTGACCTTGTTTTGATACAAACCTCATTTGCTTTTTTAGGGAAATTGTCCTTGAAAAATACTAGTTAGCATAAAAAATAACTTGATTTACATAACAAAGCAGGAAGGTTTGTAGCAAAACAAGGTCACCGTCAGCCTCGCTTCCATCCATAACTGTAAAATGGCGTATTACGCTAACGCAGTTAATCAAAACTTTTGTTCAAGCAATAGCCAGGATGATTGGACTCTCAGACGGTCGGCGCGACCCAAACCCTCTCGAGGGAGTTTGAATGAGCGACCCGGTGCCGTCACAAAATCAGGCCACAAATGTCACCAATATCACTGTTCTGTTAACTGCCCTTCTATGATAACGGCATTCAGTGAACAGTTAGTTTAGCCTGGGTTCCTTCCAGCTGAAGTAATTTTCTTTTAATTTTCTTTTATTTCTTTCCTCTGCGTCGGATCATTTACGTCTCAACAAGGTGTTTTTGCACTGTTACGCTGTAAAGAGCCAATTAATAAGGAATACCAGGGAAAACAGGCCTGTGCCAGCAAGGACCTCGGAACCATGCCTCTGACACTCACATTTTGAGCTCTATTAATATTTGGTTTGTTTTTCTGATTACAGCATTAATGACATACTTGTACAATTCCGTCCAAATGGTAACACATAGCCACTTCTGGAACATTACACATCAGATTATCCAGCCAATAATCCAGCCCTGTTAATACGTTTATTGGCTTTCCACACTCCCTGATAAGCAGGCAAAATCACATCGTCAATTCAAAATGATAATAATAAAATACTAGAATCCACAACCGGAAGAGAATGACTTGGAGAGAGAACCCAAACAAAAAACAAAGATTGCTTCAGGGGTTTACAACCGATGGGGCTTATTTGATCAAAATACGTTTTGCATTTACTGGTGTTTAACTAAGCTTCAACATGTCATGATAAATCGAATTCATTCCGATACATTTCAGGGGGCATATATTCGGAAGGGCTAGCCTGCGAGCAAGCTCTCTGGGGCGCTCTGGTGGCGGCCGTCTACGTCTCTGGAATTTGAACATCTGCATCCATAAAAAAGTCTTCAAAATGTGGGTACTTTTGGGTACTTCTTAGCCTGTACAATATCTAGGACTTCATTTTGCTGGCGTGAGGTCCACATTTAGAAGACTTCATCATATAATCCAAAAAATCGTGAAAATTCATGACCTTGTTGTGGGTCACTGAACACTCACTTTGTGATGCGAAGACTAATTGTGCGAAGAAAAATTATCTTACTTTTACTGGAACACAAACGAGAAAAAAGCCGACGAGAAAGCACCCTTATTTCCCGATGAAACCTACCGTGACTGCGATATTGCGTGATGCTTCTGTAAAAATGCATCATGAATGCTATTCGATTGTCGTCTGATCTGCATCGAAAAAGTCGATGCGAAATGCTGACTGGCGGAGATAACATTACTACTGACGTCATTACCTTTTTGGCACGTGTTTTTCAATGTTCGTTTACATTCACACTCGTTTCCGCTTCGCGCTGAGTGGTAGAAATCTGAAATCTCCGTCGACCGGGAACCACAGGGGAATCGGAGGTGGAATTCAAACCCAGTTCCAGAGAAGTAGTTGCAAGCTCTCTTCCCTTTTCACGCCACGTCGCTAGAGCGCCCCGGAGAGCTTCCTCGCAAGTTAGGAAGGGCTTGTAATCAGATGTATTTTTTTGTTTAAAGGTAGATGGGCCTATAACTAAAGGGGGTTTAACCCCGGGGGCTTATGTTTTTCAAGCACGTTTGGACGGGGGGGTTAATTAATTTACCGAAATGGAGTAACATCTTGTTTTTCCAAACAACCAGAAGATGGTATAAATTCTCTATAAAGAACTAGGACACAAAGTAGAAATGCACAAGCAGATGACGTTAGCGGTCTTGCAACCAAAGATCAAAACAAATCCGAACTTCCATCATGAATAAACCATTCCAGATCAGTCCATCTTTTATATTATTAATTTGGTAGTGAAGAATAAGGAGGGAGGGGCCGAGGGGCGGCTGAAAATACCTTTCTTCCCCTGAAATGGAGCCTTATTAGAGAGGGAGGTGGCTTAATAGAGGATTTGCGGTAATGTCTCTACGTAAAAAGACAGGCGCTTTTGCAGGCTAACCTCAGTCTTAAACTAACTGCGGGGTATTTTCCACCACCAAAGATTGGAAGATTTGATCCTACAAGCATCTGGATGTCTTCAAACTGCCACAAGACATTGTGCTGGAAAGACGAGTCTCGATTAACCTAATAACACAAAAGCAACACCAAAGTAAGAATCTTAATGAGTGTTAAGCTTACTGTAATATAGCCTCCACATAATTAAGCAGCTGCCAACATCAGTTGCCTCATAGCTTAGTTGGTAAGAGCGTCGCACCGGTATCGCGAGGTCACGGGTTCAAATCTCGTTGAAGTGCTGAATATTTTTTAGGCTCCTACTCCTCACTTAGGGCAAAATGTTGGCTTACGGGAGGGGTAGGTGGGCAGTTTCCCAGAACCCTAAATTCATCCGATCATTCTTCATTTGAATGATGATAACGATGACAATGATAATGATACTGATGGTGACGATAATTCTCATGTTACCTGAGGAAATTGAAAAGGTTCTTCCTGTGAATCCACTTCATGAATATCAGGTGCAAATAAATCTGCACTGTTAGCTGACTCGCCAGAAGGACCAGGCACCGGGTCACTAAAGGATACACCTTCACTATGGGCACTGCTACCAGAGGAATCAGCAGCAAAACACGAGGGCCCTGGTGCAGGGTACGTTGTGAAGCTTGAATCACCTGTAGCATCTGGATTTACGTTCTGAATGCTTATATAATGTCAAGAAAAATATGCACTTAATGCATTACACTACAATACTACAAAAGATAATCAATTCAATTTCCAAAACAGGGCCAAAGATTGACACAGTTAGCTAGTGCCCAGCCTTCTGGTGCAAGAGGTCCCAAGTTCAATTCCCAGATGTGACCCCAAATCCATATTATCACTTCCTTCCTTTAATAATTTCCATGTAGCTTTACAGTAGCTTTAAGTACCCGTACAATGGAGCACTGATGGAGAGAGGGAGGTAAAAATAATGAGTGGATTGCGTGTCAGCCGGCCTGTTGGTCAGATGATCACTTTCTTAAGCTTCCAATGCAAAATAAGGACGCTTTACTTTTTTTCTACTTTTAGGTAAAACTTAAAAGGCAAATAACTTGCATGTACGCATTGTACTTCACGTTTATTGTTCTTGGTTTGAACGTTTTTAAAGCAGTTTTAATCTCAGTCTCCCTTTTCCCAAATCACTAAAAAGCAAAATAAATCCAACAAGAAAAAGGAAATGAAACCACATTCTCGTTGGGACGGCAAAAAGGTGGCTGCAGTCGCTTAATAGAGGTAGCTGCTTAATAGAAGTTTAATTCCCCATTCCTTTGTACAACTGGTATTTCAGGACTTTGATTGCTGACCACTTAATAGAGGGTGGCCACTCAAAAGGTGACCGCTTAATAGAGGTTCAACTGTAATTACCTGTAGTGCAGGAACTTTGAAAAGATGTGCCGTAACTTTTTCTGGTCTTTTTTCTTCTTTTTCTTTTGAAAGCTTTCATCCTACGGAGATGACAACTCAGTGGTCAAAAATAAGTTAGAAAGAGTTGTTATTCAAAATAATGCTGATCATTCTAGGAAAATAATTTAAAGATACCTTTGGAATACCCGTCTGTTCACAGTAGAAGTCATAAAGCCACTGGGGATAGATCCTGCCATCTCTGCCCTGCAAAATAATGATTAAACAGGCATTGTTATGGAATTATCTGCAAGAGCAAGCTATTTGTCTTCAAGTGACCCCCTCATCCTGTCTGAAAATGTTCAGCTGTTCAAGGTTAGAAGATGCCTACCACATTATGGCCTACTGTATGTACCCCAGGGAAGTGACTCCCATATGAAAGGGGCTGAGATCCTCGTCGGCAATTTTGAAGGAATTAAACCTCAAAAGAGACTGATTGAGGCGTGGCCCAACCTTTTTTAAAAAACACAGACAAATTATGAAACTAGTGACATTTACTGATGGCAAAGACATTACCATCGAATACTTTTACCATACGCTGTTTTAACCCTACAAGAGACCTTTATGGTTACATAGAATTTCGTTTTGCCCAGAACACCCTAAGTGAGACCACAATCCGAAATTTACACCCTAAGCGGGATGACGAGCATCCCTGCCCTTTCATATGGGAGTCCCCCCCCCCGGGCTACCTACATGTCTACATGTCTGACGGCTGAGTAATCAAAGTAAGCAGCCAGTCCAGGGATATTTTATTTGAAAAACACCATCCATAAATAAATGCCAAGCAAAGGAGCTGGCCGATACTAACCAAGTAGGCGGCAGCCGGCTACTTTTGACAACCCTGCCTATTATCAGTTATAAAAAGGTGTAGACTCCTAAGCAGATATTCTTTAGGACTTTGTCGAAATTCCATCAAATCCCTATGCCAACAGAATGTCTGCTTGGGAGGCTAAAAAGGGGTAAAACAACATGATAGGGTCAATAATGATGCAAGGTCTTTGAGTGCTCTTTATCATAGAGACTAGTGAAAATAAACTACTGTACTATAAAACTGCTACTAGTAAGCCCTGGACTTGTACATCTTCACAAAGGGTTTTAAGTCAAGGGCCTATAAACACAGGGGCTTTCCCAGGGGTCTTATAACTGGAATAGAAAAAGCACTCAAAACAAAGTGCTTACTGCATTATTATATACCAATCTTTACTTTAAAAAGCTTCAAAACATCATAATATATCAAATTAGGAAGGGGACTTATAATTGGAGCTACAGCAGGGGTTAAAGCTGTACTCCTGGTAGCAGTGATTTTGTTACAAACAGTCATGGGGAGTCCTGCAAAAAATCATGAGTCCTTGTCCAGAACCATTGAGTCCCAGTTCAAAAAACAATGAGTCCGAAACTGAATTTTTTGGGGGCCTTTATGTAACCATGCAGACAATTAATCTGAAGACAAACTCCAAAACTCTGTATTACAAATTACTGTAGAACAAAAAACCCCTTCTATCGTAAAGTCCAACAAAGACTAAAAGAAATATACCGCGTTAAACAACAGCCAAAAGAAAAGCCACAGAAATCAAACAAACAGGATATTGAACATAAACATCTTCAGACTGATCAATCTTTGCATCCCACGGGACGCATGCAATGAATTATTTTGCGTCTTTGGCATTTTTTTAAAAAGGGACATCAGGGACGCAGGACCCATAGGTGAAAAAATCACTGAGGTAGATGGACCTTATATAACTGGAGGACTTATAAAGAAGGGGGCTTAAAAGCAGCCAGGTAAACCAACCTGAGAAGCATAAGATATGAGAGCTGGAACATCCAGACAATCCAGTAACAATGTTTGTCCCACTCTATGAACAGCTAAGCTCACTTCAGTATTGGCACTATTAATAATAAAATGACAGGGGAAAACTTCCAAGTGAGTCTTTTGCAGAAGTAGAACATGATACATTTTTTGGACCGTCAAATGATTAGAATACAGTATATCACACTAGGACATCCAAGGTATTATTTTAATGCAATATACATGTGTATGACATCTGCATACTTGACATCAAACTAGTTGTTTAAACATGTGTTACTGACCAACTACAAATGTATAAGGTCAAAATGGACCATATCTTTATCTGTAGACAGAAGCAATAAGCGGAATAATATACCTGTAAGGAATCTTGAGCAATTTCTTGATATTCTGAGTTGGAAAAAAAATTATGAAGTTAACAATACAGGCATTTCTGATGCTTATAAACCAACTACAGTCGACCAACCCCTCTTGTTCAATGATGGTCCCTTTTGTAGTCCAAATGGTTTTAATAACCATTGTGATAACTTTTCCCTGCTTAAAGGTTGTTTGTCTTGAAACTCACCCTAGTCCCTTGGTGCAAAATGCTCATTTGAAAATAAAATGGTCCCTTAGTTGTCTTTTTGCAATTACATGAGAACAGTGACCCCCCCCTTCCCCTTTTTTATTAATTTGTTTTTTACTCATTATGGTTACACAAAAAATAATAATATCTAAAGAAGAAAAAAATCTGGATAGTAGAAGTTGTAATTTTTTAGATATGAATGATGTGAAATTCTGTATTTAGAGCCACAAAGAAGTATGAGGTAAAGTCTAAGCTGTCCATTTCTCTCTGTTTTTTCAAGAGCCATTTTGCTCAAAAATTAAAGCCCAGAGAAACAAACATTCATGGTTTTTGCTATATCACAGGAATTTTTGAAGTTTGTTTAAGTTTCGAAACATTTCGCACACAACTGTGAAAAAACACTCAGAATTACATGTACAGGCACACAGGTTGAAAATAAGCGCAGTGGTCCCATCTTTTTATTGCAGTTTTTGAATGTCCCATAATAATATATTGCTGACCATAATTTGTGCCAAGTTTGAAAAATAACTGCTAGTACATCCTTTTCAAGGGAATTACATTAAATACTGTTTTGGAAGAAAAAAATGACTAACAGCAAAATATTCAGTAAAAATCCGCATAATTTTTAAGAACAGGCTATTTTTTTGAAGTCTGGCAAAGTAGGTTCTTGGGGTACTTATTGGCAATTTAGGCTTAGTAGGTTTAATACGGTTCTTGATTTCTGAGAAGGAGATATACTCGTTGACAACCAGAAAAATAAATACACTTGGGTTTGGTCCTAATAAATATACAGTATTTCTGCAATACTTTTATTTGTAATATTACAATTTGATACAGTACAGCTATATGTTCTTGTTACACTTAAATCTACAATCTTCAAATTACAATCCTTGGTGAAATTGTTTGACATAATTTAACCATAACCCACATTTGTAAGAACCTGCTTGATCTTGCTTGGCTAAACAGGATCTTGTAATTTTGGGTATTAAAAAGGCCAATTTCTGCCTGGAAGTTTTTAATCTGGACTAGGTTCTTATATGCAGGTTTTTACTGTATTAAGTTTGGCATGCTGAAATATTTTGTTGTCATCCCAACTACCGAGTTCACCAGAAATACAAGCAATTTCACCAACTGTATTCTGGTACTGGTACATTTGAATACATGATATTAGTAAAGAATCAATGGAATAAAAAAGGTGAGCTTACTTACCTCAGCATCTGAAATCACATCAACATCACTAATGGAATCAACAAAACTGTGCGCCATGCCAAAACTGAAAAGTGAAAAAAGGGAAATATTACTATTACAAAAGAAATAGGTACATGTAATCATTTTATGATGATAGTACGAGGGTTCTGGAGAGAAAATTCATCTGCTCAAATAGATAGGATACCACAGTCTAACCGAGAAAACCATGAACACCAGAAAATATTTCTGGAATATATTGTGATGCAAAAAATAAGGCCAATCAGGCATGAGAAATTAAACCTGCAACCAAGAACTTATATACTTATACATTGTGGTTTTGTGGCTAGTTCCTGTGTACTGATCTTTGCTGTGATTGGTTGCAACACAATAAACATTCTTGAAATATTTCAAGTATTCATGGTTTTGCCAGTTTGATAGCCTTTCAACAGGCTATGCGAGGGGAACACACACAGGGGAGAGGATGCACCAGTAACGAAGATCCTATAAGTTTTCAGTTTCCTAATAATCATGTTCTCTGATGAAGCGTAGAATGCCAAAGGCTAAGAACACCTTTTGGGAGTTAGTCTATCACCTCAATGCAAATTACTTTGTCACTCAATGGAAATTCAAGTCTTCTTGTAAACAAAACACATGTGCCACATGACAATAGCTGAGTTTTTTTAAAGAGCTTATCCAAAGAGATGTTCAATTTAGATTTTAATTTTCGAAAAACATTAAATTGCACCATTTATTTTTTTGGAGATCTCTAAGCAGTATCACAAGCCAGGTTCCAAGAAAGTTTATTTTTCCAGTTATTTGTATTGAGATGCAAAGACTGGAACAGTCTTCACAAGCATTGTCATTATTTTCAAGCAGCCGAGGTTTCTTCTATGGGCATGCAAGCATGTGGCTTGAAAGGAAACCTGGACTGTTTAAAAAAAATACAGCAAGGAAGGGATAACATCGTACGCGTCAGCTGAAGCAGAGACAGGACAAAAGATTGATGAATTTCATTGAAATCGCCATCACTGATTAACAAGAATATAGCAGCATTTTTTATTGACAAAGCTTGGATGGGACTTTATAGGTAAGCATGTTAGGATTAGGGTTGGAGTCCTGTTTGCTCTGAATTTAAAATTACATCGGATGGGTTGGTTTCATGTCATTTCTTCTTTTATAGGTTGATGCAGCCCGTGGTCACATATTAATTAAATTGGGGGGGAGGGGGTGGTGTAAGTAAATGGAAAACCAGGCTCTCCGCAGCAGGCACCCCCTCTCCTTCTCTACCCTTGTGTGTCCTCGACACAAGACTTCTTCCTTCCCCCTAAAAAAACCCGGTGCCTGGAATACCGGCTATTGGTTTGACTGTAATTTACATTATCCATTCACCCCATTTAAAAAATATGCAAAATTACTTGAAAATTGAATGATTGCTGATATTTAGTGAGCTTACACAGTTCAGGATAGCTAAACATTTGTGTATGACAAACACAACAGGGCTATTACTTCCGTGTTTTGTCTTGATCTTATTAAAAACTTAACATTCCTGTGTTTTGCAGCCTCTTCCCCAGGCCACTTTGATTATCCAAGTGAGCAGAGGAGGTTTGGAACAAAGCACAATTCCTCGTGAATTTTTCTCACAAGCTTGACAGGTGACGTCAAATCCAAAATCACTGTGGATGACTGGAGATGTGAGTTTTCTGGTCTTTTACAAAGAGTCAAGTTTAAAGGAAAGTGAAATTTTGTAGAATTTTTTAAAAACATATTACAGTCATGTTAGTCACATGGGGTTGCGTCTCCTTTCCTCTCTCTCTCTCTCTCTCTCTCTCTACTGTCCTATAGCATAAGGTTGCTATTATTATTACATGTACAAACCTTGAGAATTCAACAGGGTCTCGTCTGTGGTGATCAACTTCTGAAAACCTTCCATCTCTCAGCCAGTTAGAAGGGGCAACATTCAAGTTGGTGTCCTACACATGAAAGCAACACAAGCCAATATATTATACAGTTTTACTGTTTAGAATCTAATTCCAGGTTTTTTTAAGCTATTAACAAAGTCAACTAGGACTGAATGTAGTCCAATTCAGTCTGTTAACAGACAGCACTAGGGATGGGAGTCCAATTCAATCACGAGTATGATAACAGACCAAATTTAAGATGACATGAAGTCCTGTTACCAATTAATCATAACTATAACAAAATTTAATATATTTTAACTTTTCTAAAATTAAAGCATAGGGTATTCCAAGAGTTTTTTGCTAAAAATAAAAGTAAAAACCCATTCAAGTGCGTGCATGCTATGGTGCACACTGTCTAATAATTTTAGGCATGATGCATACCGTCCTATTAGTGCTGATATCGGGACATTTGATAACCGATAAGATTTGAGAATTTTGCTATAGTGTTAATTAAAACAGTGTTAATAACACACTTGGGATGAATTCCTTGGGGAAATCCAATTCTGGATTCTTGAAAACAAAGCAGCTCTGGCATTTCTAATGGAGAATGATTCCATATTTAGAATTCACAGTACAAGTGAAAGTGATTTTAATCAACAATTAAAATTATTGGATTAAATTTAAATTTATTTTCATGATTTGTGATCTTTTTTTAATGCCAGCCATGTTCTTACCATGTCACATCAATAATTATTGCTGTCAGGTCATGCTAAAGAATCCATTCTTGGAGGTTTTTGCAGCTGGAGTAAATCAATCACCCAATGCTGAGTGACCATGAAGTTTAGAGACAAGATTAGGAAAATGAGTTAATGAAGTTCAAAGTCAGTTCAACTAGTTTAATGACCCAAATAATTAAGGAAACTGGAACTTGATTCACTCAGTTTCCAAACCTTCATCACAAAACTTCAGAGTTACAGCTATATACAAAACTGTATGGCATAATTTTCAACAGCCATTCAGCAAAATATCCCTGCCAGAATTTTTGTGTCATCCATCAAGATGAATGTAAAGAATCCTTGCATTACAATTTTATCTTCAACTCTTTCAAAAAGATTGCACCCTTTTTCTTCTCACACATTACAAACTACATGCAGGAAATTAGACGTAGTCACCTGTTGTAATTTGTAGTAAGGCAAGATTTCTTGGGCCGAGTACTTAACAATCGCTTTTGAACTGACCTCTCCTGTCTTGGATTTCTGGCATAAAAATACAAATACAAAAGTACCAATACCATCAAATCAGCGGTGTACAGTGAATCTAACAAACACATATTCTTGGTAAGCTTTTATATAGATCAGTTTTAATTTTTACCATGCCTTTTTAACTCTTTACTACACATTTCTATACACAGAAATAAGCACGCATAAAGTTCAACAAAAATGCCAACTAGAGCAGTCGACGAAAGAAAGTGAAAGACGAAAAAGGTCTTTTGTTCGCGAAGGGAAGTTAAGCTTATTCTGGCTTATTGACCCTTAGTACGTCGATACGCATACCGTATTTTCTGCCGATCCTCGCAGTTTAGGGCCAGAATCGCCTTTCTCGGGAATTCCATTGCTATCGATACTTTCTTTCTCCATCGCTGCTTTCTTTTCTTGCATTAGCTAGCTTGACTTTGTGAGAGAAAACGAAAAATATTGGAGAAATGTTTCTCACTGTCCGTCGTAATTGCCGCCATCTTGGATTATTGCCACCAAGGATCTGGGAACAAGACGTCCTTTGTAGGACGTGGAGGGACCTGGAGAGGGTTATTAAAGAAAAAAAAACAGCTGCGCATTGCTGCGCATTGGCTAATCCAAAAATAGCTTCAAACATGGTAAAAAATATGTTCCAATTTGTCTCTTTTAATACTTTCTTTTTGAACGAAACACAGCGACTACATTTTTGTTGTTGAGACAAAAGTAATAATTTAGCTACTGTCAAGAATTATCATGCATTGTGAATAGGATTAAATATTCACAAAAGCGTATAACGCTATTCGGCTTCAAGAAAGTAGAAACGATTACTTAGATTTAATCGTTAATAACAGAGAGATAAAATATAAAACACTGTAGTTTTAACAGTTTTTTTTTTTTATCCGCAAGCTGAAATATTTTAATTACTTCATTTCATTTATGACAAAAACCCTTGACATCACGGCTAATTTTGGTGACGTCACAAACAAATCAAAATATATAAAAAATTATTCAATCAATGCCCCAAATTGGCGTAAGCTTCAAGAAAGTAACCTGTATATTCCTGTAAAAAATGGTACCACGTGAGAGTTAACCGTGCGTACAGCTTAAAAGAATGTGTGGATCGTTATTATCCAAGTTTAAGAAAAGAAGTAACAAAATAGCTCCTGTATTAAGCGTCGAGTATATGGATCCACAGTGGTGTCCGAGAAAGACATGTCTTGCGAATGTCGCCTCTATGCCGTTGAACGGAAATTTATCAAGAGAAGATTTATCTCTTGACAGGACATTCAGTCAGAGGATCCAATTTTCGGACCTTGGTAATTTTACTGAAAGAAATTCTAAGATGAACATGGCGGAGGGAAACAGCGTTCTGTTAGCTTCATCAGTTTTTACAAGTGATGGAGCTAACACAGCGGAGCCTGCCTTCGAAGTCGATGCCACCGATGAAGTGCTGTCTGTGAGTAGTGGAATCCAGATGTTAACAGAAAAGCGATCTGATACTATTAGTCTTCAGGCTTTTGACGGATTTCAAATAAAGAGAGCGGATTCAGCGGCAGAGAAAGAAGAAAAGACAGCGAGTCAACGTAAACTGCTTATCACGACTTCAACTTTGAATCAGGCTTCACCAGACTCAGTTCTTGGGTATGGAGATGTGGAACCCGAAATTTTGGGTTCAAGTACAGTTTCCTTTGATTGTGCTATTTCAGTACAATCAGAGGAAACTGTACTTGAAGTTCAAAATAAACAGGCGTTAGTTCCTCTTAATGACCATGAAGAACGTCTTAGGCCAGCTCATCATGATCGTGAAACACAAGAAAGCTTCATTACTTTCAAAGGTCTTTCTCCTGATATACTGAAAAAGGTTTCAGCTAAAGAAAACATGATGTTAAATAGAAACGAAAAGGGCAATTTGGGACTCGTCTGCGAGTCATTAGCTGGAAAGGAATCAAAGTTTGAGGTACCGCCTGTTGAGGTAGGGGTCTTTTTATCAGGGGGTAGACCTTTGGTCATCATCTTGAGATTATGATTGGCTAGAATATCCCTCGCCACTTTCTGAGCCAATCAGAGAGTTAGAAAAACTGACGGTCACTTGCTCGAGACAAGAAAATTTGCTCCACCTTGTTCTCTCTCCACCAATGTGTATATATAGGGTACCGGCAACATACTTCTGAGAATAACGCTCCGATGGATTAGTCTCTCCTCCAAGGGGCTGGGGAGGGGTGAGGGAACTATGCTCCTGTGCACTTCGTGTCACCGAAACCGAGGTCGGGTGCTTCAAAAGCAGCGACGATGGCCACGGCAACTAGAAAAGAAAAAAGGCAGTGGACCATTTCTGAGTTTCCCCAAGCCTCTGTTTCAAAGCGAGGTTGAGTGCGAAGCAATTGATATGAAAATTATCTTTTAATCTCAAAAGGAGATGCAAATAAAACTCATCTTCACAAGAAAGGTTTTGCACGTAGCCTCGTTTTGAAACTGAGAGTTTTTGGAACTTGGAAACACAATATTTTTGCACGAGCCTTTACGCCTTTTGGTGAAGAAAAAAAACCACAACAAAACAAATATGTCAGAGTAAATTATCAGATCTGCGCATTAATGGCAATCAAGCTCATATTCAGTCAAAATATTTGGTTCAAAATAGTTTAAATCATACTTTGTACATGAAAACGCCATAGAGTATACAGGGAATGGTGACAATGAAGTATAAGCTCTGCTATTTTCTTGTCACCATTCTCTCTACCCATGCCGCTAACATTCATAGAGTGGAAGTAATTAAATACTAGACGCCAAGGCTGCTTCAAACCAACAGGTAGTTGATGAAATTGAGAAAGAGCACACTCAAGAAAAAATGATGACTCCTTCAGAATCCATACCTATGATTTCGTCACTACAAGGCCAAGCTGAAACGAGGGTTAAATCTGCATCTTCACAAGAATTGGCCTTAGCGGAGAAAAATGAAGTAAGGATGATCGGCTCAATTGAAGGGCGACCAAGCTCTGTCACCTTACAACGAGCACCCGTTTGTGCTAAACGTCTGGCTGGCAGGGGGCAGGGTTCCTTCACGGTAGCTACCAAGGAACAGCAGAATGATCGATTGGTGGTTGAAGCCGATTCATTTTCTCGATCAAAAGTAAATCTAGAAAATGAATCACAGAATCCAAATGATGTGCAAATGGATCGTGACGTGCTTCTCTCCATGGCCAAAAAGCAGCTAGAAATCAAGGTTTTAAGCGTAAGTACTGATCTAGTAAATGATATTAACTTTGCAACAAAAGAACAACATGACATAATCGTTAAATGATGCATAATATCTATCAAAACAGGCCTTATCAATCTTTTAAGTTATTACAATCGTTGAAATGGCCTCAAAATATTCAGAACTTTGATTTAGTTTTTAATTCGCGTAGATGACTGCTGGAAGTTCAGTCAAGACTAGAGAGTTATTGTTGGCAGTGGCTACAAAGGAACTGGAGAATAGGATTTTCCAGGTAAGTTGTGCCCTGGTCTAAATCACGGTGCTGCATGTGAGACTGATAATGCGAAGAACGGTTGCTTTGAACTGAAATGCAGGACTGTTTAGAGGTATGAATATTGTTACAGATTCCCAACCGATCTCAAAATTGTTAACAGAGGAACAGAGGTTGTGTCGCCTTTAGAAAAATCATTCTTATTCACCATTTTCACTTGTACCATCATAAAAAAGTTTGCAGAACTATTGTCTTCGATTGCTCTTAGGACGCCTGTTTTGGGGCTCCTGCGGTTGTGCAATTTTGTTTTTTTTTTTTTTTTTTTTGGGTGAGGTGGGGGTAATCAAGTTGCATTATGGTCAAGGTGAAAATGGTGATTAGTCCAATGAGGGATCAACCAAAGTCATGCCCAGAGGCAGCGATCCTTTTGGTCAGCACCAAGGTGGACGTAAGTGACGAAAGCTCTGGGAACTGGATTGGGTTCCCGGATCTCAGTAACAGCTTTCAAAATATCCAATGCCCTATGCTGAAAACAGAACTTTATAGGTCTGCAATACCTTATAAGGCATGCCTGTCTGGTTTGTTTATATGTTAAAAGTTTTCTCTTACTAAAAGAACTGACGGACCCAAAGTGACGTTTTTTGCATTAAAAGTATATTTTTTACTTGGCCAATATATAAAATAATTTCTCGGTTGAGGAAATGTTCGTGTACTTACAGAAAGGCCGTTATCTTTTAGATGTTCACTGCCGAGGGTGGATTAACGTCCGCTGGTACAAACCGGATTGCTGAACTTAAAGTAACCCGCATGGACAACCAACAGCAATTGAACGTTAATGCTAAAGAAAAGCTCACTGAAAATTTTAAGAAGAAACTAGGAGCATTTCAAAGCGGCTTATCTAGTAGCAATACTGTGCGCTCTCTTGAACTCGGAAAGACAAAAAATACCATTGCTTTTGAAGTTCTCGACGGAAACAAGCGCAAGGAAACTGTTATTCCCTGGGCCAGGCTACCTTTGAGCCTGCGCAGACTGGACGAACCTCCACCCCTGGCCTCTGAGACGATCAATGCCAAACTGCTTCGAGCGGAAAGAAACAGAACCAGAAAACTACAAGAAGTACAATCTCGTGCGCGAAACATGTCTACGTTGCGCTCAAAATAAGTGTTGTTAAGTTAAATAACTCCATCGTCTAGTTTTTCACCTGCCATATATAAAATACAAAGATGTGCTGAGTGAAAAAGGAAATAGAACCCTATGGGTTCGGACGGAAGGTTTTTTTTGTTTCGAGACTTTCGGGAGGACGATATGTCTACAACAATTCTTGGTTTGCAACCACGTGACAGGGCGGCCATGTTGGGGGTCAATGCAATGGAATGTTTTCTCGAAGAATTGAAATGAAAATAGAGTTTAGTTCCCAGAGGAGAGGAATGCTTTTGTTCTTGAGCACCAAAATTGCCGCCATGACGTCACGTGCAAACCAGTAATATGGGTCGAGTCACCTTAATGGTCGGCATAGTTAAAAATGGAAAATTTGAGTGTGACAGAAAGGTAAGTAGGAGGTGGAGGATGGAGCTAAGCAAACTCTATTTGTTCAATAAGAGAAACAAATTGTTCATATTTTTGCGTGCATTTATGCTTACTGAATTTTCAAGTTTTATTCTCTGTTCGTTGTAGATGTTGCACCATTTTGTTTCAATGGTTAGTTTAATTGATCATTACTGTTTTTGTAATATAATAACCTGCCCTAACATGCATTTGATTTAGAAAATAAAATCTATTAGTTTTCTCCTAAAAAAAATTCACGGCCGCCTCACACAAAAGGGGAGCATCTTAATCCTTTAAACCCCAAGATCAAAATTTGAATTTTCATTTGTTGTTGTTCCTACATATTCCTACAGAAGTAGTGGGGAGAAGTTGATGTCAAACAAATTCATCTCGTGTGATCATGTCTGTAATTCTCATGACCACCCTATTTTACAAAGCATTGATGTTACAAGGAGAAATTTGATTCTGATCACTCTTAGGGTTTAAAGGGTTAATATCACACTACTTTTATGCAAATTTTTTCTTTTGAAATCCGGAATCGGGGAAAATTTTACATGTGAAATCTGGAATGCTGGGCTTTGGAATACGGAATACAGCTCAACGAGTCCGGAATCCCACGAATAATTGGGGATTCCGGCATCCAGAAAGCAAGTTCCACTGAAAAGACTAGAATCTAGTACAGTGAAACCTCTATTAAGCGGATCTCCAATTAAGCGGACAATAAGCCGGGTTCCGAAACGAATGTCTTACATTTCCCTTTATAACGAATCCCTGTTCAGCGGATTAAGCGGACGTCGGACACTAAAATAAGGTAAATTTGCCTAATTTCTATTGTTAAAAAACCTCTATTAAGCGGACACCGGACTGAATTGACAATAGTAGTTTTGGATTACGTCCTTTAAATACGGACTGAATTCAGTTAATGTTTTTGCATTTACAAACAAATTAAAGTTGGTAATGAAAGGTAACGAACTTGAACGCTGGATATCGACTGGATAGCTTCTTTAAGAACATGCAACTTTATCACAGTACAGGGTAGCCGTTGAATGTTGATGGTTAACAAACATTGCGCAATTTTTACAACCTCTATTATAAGCGGACACTTGGGAAGGTCCCGAAGGTGTCCGCTTAATAGAGGTTTCACTGTACAGTCTATCCCCTCCTTACAGACACCTCTCTATTACGGCCACTTCGTTTGGTCCCAGAAATGCCAAAAATCATACATTCCCTACCTCTATAATACGGACACCTCGAGCTCTGTAAAGTGGACACTTGCTTCTGTCCCCTTGGTGTCGATATTAAAGAGGTTTCACTGTACCTGGAACCAGAATCCAAGGCTGTCTTGGATTCCCTTACACTGGTGAGATTTGACGAGACAGCTCCTCAAGCCGACACGACAAGCTATCGGGTTAAGTGTGAAAATAGCCTAAGTCACTGAGCATTTACTACCAAAATATTTTTGAGTACCCCAGGGTTTAGCACAATTTAGAAAGGAAATCTTTTCCCTCGTGCTTGTGTCTGAGCTTGTATTTATGCTTTGATCCCATAGTCGGGCAAAGAAAACTGTTTGTTTTGTAGATAGTGAAACCCAAGAGAGAGGCTTGGCAAGTTATGCTACCTGCATTAATTAGGTACGATTCTGCCTACTTATCATGAATTAATAAAACTTGAATATCCAAAAGGTTGGATATTTAAATCTCTGACAGCTGGTGGCTGACCAGTTCACGTTCCTTCATTATTAAAAAGGCAAACCTGTTTCAATGGGTTTTAACTGCGAATATTAAACCATGGAAAAAGTAATTTCAGATTCGTATAAGGGGCAGGAATGTTAAGGGGCAGGAAATTTTCCATACGGGCAAAGCATGCAGAAAATGAGCAAGTGGAGTTCACAAAAATGGCATGAGCTTATTATGATGTTGTTATGGCCAATATTTCATGTATGCAAATGACTTATTTGTTTTTCCTCTTTAAGAAAACCTCATTTTCAAAATATTATTTTGCCTAGGGATACTCAATTCCTTCAAACTCCGCATTCATGTTTATTAGCAAAAAGAACGAAAAAATTGGAAACGATTGTGACTCGTGATCGTCTATGAAGTTGCTAATTTCATCGTTACCAAATGATCTAGTATGCATTTTTAATCAACCTGCTTGTCTGCAGACGCGAGATTGAACTTCAATAAACCTATTTTGTTTTTCTCCTCTTACTGTTTGGTCTTTGATTAAGCGAGGTTTCTGTGGAGACACTCGTTTCATTTTATTGCTTCTCGCTCATTACAACTAGGAAATTTTGTAATGATAAAAATTGTCGATCCAAAATCTTTCTCTTAATACGGTTTTGAAAACCTCTATGCATTTTTAATCGCTTGTCTTTAGACTGAAGGTGAGACGACCTAAAATAAAGAGTTCTTTGCCTTGTAGGGTTAGCACACGAAAATTGCTGGTGTTCGAAAAACGTCCTTTGTTGTATTGTTGGGTTTTTGAAGATCTCAATTATCGGCGCATTTTCGTTTTTTAGTTGTGCACTGGAACGCAACTGTACTGAATTTACCTCTATTTCGTTGAAAAATGCAAACGATGATTCGCATAAAGTAATTAAAAGCAGACTCCACCTTGCACTCTATTCTTTTTGCGGCTTCACTGCTCAGTGTTTTTTTCGGGGGTCTGATTAGAAAGTAAACAGAAGACGCCGGCTTTAAAATGTCTCTTGTTCATTTACATTTGTTATCTTAAAAAGAACTGGACCATCAATATATTTTGCTACCTTCCTTTAGCTCTCATCTCCTCTAGTATTTTAATTAACTGACGAAACCTGAGAAGACGTTCTAACAGTGTGGGATTTCGACTGTGGTCACAGGTCTTTGCTTTGTATTCTACTGAACTTAATTCTCTAATTAGAGATAATCCAGCTGGAATAAATTCTAAGAAATCATTCGTAAGAACGAAATACGTATACCTGCCCGTCCTGTATAATATTTATTACACTAAATTCAACTGAAAATGTGAAAAAGGAACACATTTCCCAATAACGTTTGTCAGCTACGTTCAGAGGTTGTGAGGAAAACATAACATTAACTTTATGATACTAATAGCTGCCAACTATTTGTTGGAAATTCAAGAAGATAACAATGCTAACGCACGCAAGTAGTCTATTTTTAAAAACATAGAAATGATGATCATGGGATTTGAAGTCCCGCCAAGCTGTGTGGGCTAAAGAGCTCGCTCTGTAATTAGTGGGTTGAACGGCGGGAAAATTTGGCTTAGCCAAGTGAAATTAAGACCTGGTGATAAGAGAAAGTTGCTTAATTTCTTGCGAGTTTTTCGCGATCTCTGTCACTAGCGAAAGAACAAATAGAACGATACTTTGCACTGGAGAGAAATGTACAGCATACATTTAACGACATATTAGCACTGTGATAATCTTGTGTTTCGAAAAAAAAAAAAGATCTTAGTTGGACTTAATCTCTTTTGTAATGTGCTATTTGAGTCCTGTTGCGCTAATGTTAAAGGAAAAAAAAAAGGAAAAATGACAAGAAGCTTAATGCCTTTTCGGTACTGGTAATAAACTAAACTCACAACGAAATAAGTCATTTGCAAATTTAAAAAATTGCGTTT